GGTGAACCAGAGCAGCGCACGGAAACGGCGTTTACCTTCCTGCCGGAGCGGTACCTATTTATCTACTTGCACTTTGACGTGCTTTCGAACTGCTAGGTTGACAGGAGCAGGGACCGAGCAACGGGAGCTCATCCCGTCACAGGGATTCGAACCGCCAATCTTCTGATCGGCAAGCCCTAGGCTCTGTGGTTTAACCCACAGCGCCACCCGCGTCCTGTGGTGTAGTGGTTAGTGTTCTGCAAATATTCAAGCAACTCCCCAGCATGCAACCTCCTGGAACCCACTGCCACGAGATGGGATTTATAGCTTGAAAGAGGGGATTAAAACAAATTCATGGGGAAGAGGTCTATACATGCTCTTCATGGTCCTTTTGCACCACACATTTAAAACAGTAACATACCACTTTAAATAGTCGCAGTTTTGCCCTTAAGCATCTTGGGAACTGTAGTTTGGTAAGGGCGCTGAGAGTTGTTAGGAGACACTCACCCCTCCACTGTTCCCCTCAGAAAGCTACAATTCCCAGCGTGGTTTAACAATCCATCCATCTTCCTAGGGAACTTTCCCACATCAATACATTTTATTTTAAAAATTTGTGGCAAGTGTTGCTTAAAAACTATAAAAACAAGGCGCACAATGTTTGGGGGAGAGGAGGGAAAAGGCAGATCAGTTCTTGAAGCCCAGATCAAAGTGGTGAGTTGTAAGGTGGCAATTCTACCCAGGGCAAGCTGGGTTGCTTTTCCCTTGCTTGAATTGTGGTAGGTTGCTCCTATTTTGGGGGGTTGGTGGATTGGTCCAGAGAGAGTTTCCTTTCCCCATGCCTGCTTCTGCACTTTGCAGATGAGTGCTCTTTCTGACACACAGGGGCGGAGGGAGGAGGAACTTCCTGAAGCTGCTCTTCTATTGGCCAATGGATGGGCCCAGGCTGCTCTCCTTGATAATAATAATAATAATTATTATTATTATTTATTTATTATTTATACCCCGCTCATCTGGCTGGGTTTCTCCAGCCACTCTGGGCGGCATCCAACAGAATATTAAATTACAATAACCTATTACACATTAAAAGCTTCCGTAAACAGGGCTGCCTTCAGATGTCTTCTAAAAGTCTGGTAGTTGTTTTTCTCTTTGACATCTGGTGGGAGGGCGTTCCACAGGGCGGGTGCCACTACCGAGAAGGCCCTCTGCCTGGTTCCCTGTAACTTGGCTTCTCACAGCGAGGGAACGGCCAGAAGGCCCTCAGCACTGGACCTCAGTGTCCGGGCAGAATGATGGGGGTGGAGATGCTCCTTCAGGTATACTGGACCGAGGCCGTTTAGGGCTTTTGCACAGGTGGCAGATTGCTGTTGAACCAACCAATAGTAAGGGTTCAGCAACGATGGCCTGTGCTGGGTGAACAGAAATGGAACAAGGATTTCCTACTGACTCCTGCAATTTTGTTTGCTGTCTTATCACGGCGTTCCGCAAATTTCTGATAGCTTGAAAGCAAGTTGAGCTGGGAGTCAGGACTCGCGCTCACTTTTATGATGCGTGGTTCTTTTCCACGCTCTCCCAGCAGCTCCTGACAAGAGGCTGGTCTTGGAGCATCAGCAGAGAAGCAACAGGCACCCTCCTCTGAGAGAAAGTCAATCTGCTATTCATCAGGAGAATGGTGAATGATCTGATGCAGAGGAATTGCCTACCCCACAGCCGAGGCTGATGAGAAGGAAGGCAAAATCTAGAACAGTAGCTCATGCAGGGGGGCAACAGGTACCCTCCTCCACCATGGATGGTGTTTCTGGCTCACTGGAGCCCTTAAATGAATTTATTTCTCATGGCATAGCTTGGGATCGCCTGCTTTACCAGCTTGCTATTCCTCATAATAGATCCCTTCATGGCCTTTACTCCAACGCTGCCTGGAGCTGGCGTTAAACTACTTTTTCTCCCTTCTTTCTGGCCTTTTCAATTACTTTGTGTTTGCTTGATCTGCTACCAGAATATACCCTGCGGTTCCCCTGTTTTAGCCTCTGCTAAACCCTTCAGTCCGCGTCCTCTCTGATGACAAAAAGTATGTGGAATTGGCTAAAACGGGGAAATTCCTGTTCTCACAATACTTGGAAAGAATGAAAAATCTTTTCTGCTTCTCATCTTTTTTTTTTCTTCAGAAAGTGAAAAGAAATAACAGAAGAGCACATCCAGTACTTTACGAATGTTTGTGGTGGCTTTGCCCAGAGGGTTCCCTAAAGGGACAGGATGAGGAATGGTCGCAGTCTCTCTTTGATCTGACTGCAGCTTTTTGAAACATGTCCACAACCCGACCCCACGGTCCAGTGAGAGAAAACACATGCATTGGAAGGAAAACTGAGAACCGAGTACACATCATCCATTTAAAGCGCAGTTAATTCATGTGTCCCCCCCCCCAAAAAAAAGAATCATGGGAACTGTAGTTTGTTAAGGGTGTTGGGAATTGTACTTCTGTGGGTGGTAAACTACAGTTGCTAGGAATCTTGCACGGAAGCCATGTGCTTAGAAATGGCTAGTGCTTTGGACAGCTGTTCCCAGTTCAAACAGACAATACAGGGCTAGAGTTGAGTGAAAGGCAGGTTCTTCTCTTCCCAGCTGAAAGGCCGAATTATGCAAAGACAAAATATTCCCTGTGGAAGCTGGCCAGGGTGGCAGCGGCTGCACAGCAGAGCAAATTCTCTCCCCTTTGGGGTGTGCTCAACCGCAGGCCCTGCTGAACTTCCTCATCCACAGCATCAATCTGGGAAGACCACCTGCTGCTCCTTATAGACATTTCGGCCGCTCCTGTTTCTTCTCTTCCCTTCGTTTTCGCTGCCAAAACAAGTGTAGTGGCGGCAGGGTTTTCTCTCCCTCCCTCTCTTTCTCTCTGTCATCAACAAGTGTGCACTCCAAAAAGCAACCAAAAGAGTCTGAAGCAGAGACCAGAGGAAGAATCCAGGGCGCCCCAAAAACCTCCATGATGGAAAGGCAGAGAGAGAGAGAGAGAGAGAGAGAGAGCGCGCACCATGGGTGATTTATGCTTGAATCCAGGGCTATGGCTAGGGGAGAAACCAGCCACTTCTGGGATGTTAATGCTGGGAGCTCCTCCATTGTAGGCTGAGGTGGTATATATGTGAAAATAAACCATATATCCTAAAGAGATATTCTCCACATTCTCCACTGTGCCTCATTCCCAAAAGGAAAACCGAACCCTAGCTGAACACCTGGAGCTCCTGGAATCTCGCACCTCTCAGAGTTTAGGGGTGGCATGCAACAATATAAATGCAACAAATAAATAAGCCTATTACTGTTATTATTTTGCATTAGCATCTCAAGGTACAAAACTCTCTGCAGACTGTAATTTTGAAGTAAATGTGATTTACAGCCAGTTCTTTCCCCCTTTTTCTTTTGCATTGCAAAAGAGAAAAGCATTATAAAACATGACACCACAAAGCGAAATGTTATCTGGGTGACACTTCAACAGAACTGCGTGTGCTTTGTGACTGCCGCCCCCATCCATTCTGTACCATGGAAACCCAAAATCTACACTCTGAATTAAGGTATACAAATACGAACCCTTGCCAACTTTGCATAATTTATTCTGCTAGCTACAGGGAGGGACAAGGTGCATGAAAAACCTTGCATCCTGGAAATTAGGAATTCTTTACTGAGCATCTCTCTGGCTCCTCGTTCTACCCGGACACTGAGGTCCAGCACCGAGGGCCTTCTGGCGGTTCCCTCTCTGCGAGAAGCCAAGTTACAGGGAACCAGGCAGAGGGCCTTCTCGGTAGTGGCGCCCTCCCTGTGGAACGCCCTCCCACCAGTTGTAAAAGAGAACAACAACTACCAGACTTTTAGAAGACATCTGAAGGCAGCCCTGTTTAGGGAAGCTTTTAATGTGTGATGTATTACAGTATTTTAATTTTTTTTTTTTTTTTTTTGGAAGACGCCCGGAGTGGCTGGGGAAGCCCAGCCAGATGGGCGGGGTATAAATAAATAAATAATGATGATGATGATGATGATGATGATGATTATTATTTCATCAGACATTTGAGGTTCTCTCCGCAATCATGAGGGTTAGAAACCTCCCCGCTCCCCAATACTTCTTTAAATTGAAGACTGGGATTAAAAAAGCAAAGTTGGTTTCAGCTGCGTCCACTCATTCTTTTACATGTTATTTTAATAGAAACCATCACTTTCCCCCTGCAACTACCACCTTCTTGTTTGGTTTCCAGCAAACTTCATTTATAGATAAGCCCCTGCCAATGAACTAGTGTGGGGGAAGAATCATTGTTCCATGAGATTCCTATTATGAAAATGGTCAAGGTCTTGTTTGAAGGAGTGCCTGTTGTTGTTATTGCTATGACAACCCTAATCATAATTTTTTTTGGGGGGGACGGGACCGTTTAACCCTGAAGAACTATTGCAGTTGGTCAGACATCTTAAACATTAATCATTTTTTGCTGGCTGGGTGATGTCATCTGTTTCCTTTTGGTGGGAGAGAAAGGTGATAACTGCCCGTCTGTCTGGCAATGTTCCATCAAAGCGTTCCTCTTCCGCCAGCAAGAGTTATCGAACCTAATTGATACGGACGGCAAAATTTCATATGGGAATGCAGGGAGCAGCCTTGGTACTGGGTCAAATTAAGTTATACTCAGAGTAGACCTGCTGAAATCAACTGGCTGAACTTAGTCATGTTCATCAGTTTCAGTGGTCAGATGCCAGCCACGGATTGAAATTGGGACCCTCTGCATACAAACCAGATACTCCGCCACTGACCCAGGACCCTTCCCCCCACACAATACCATATTTACTAAAAATGCTTCTCATTAAGTGCCAGAGGCCAAAGCTTCAGTGCCCTGATGCTCCTCTTTCCACCCCCCTCTCTCCCCCGTAGCTAGTTAAAAAGCCCATTTCCTCAATTTATGCAGGGCGCATATTTTTGCTCTTAGAGTCACAGAATTGTAGAGTTGGAAGAGACCCTGAGGGTCATCTAGTCCAACCCCCTGCAATGCAGGAATGTGCAGCTGTCCCGTATGGGGATTGAACCTGTGACCTTGGGGTCGTCAACACCATGCTCTAACCAACTGAGCTAAGCTGCATTCTTATTCTATTTTTCAGCAAGGTACAGCCCTCCCCATATGCTTTCTGCTCATTTACTACTTTTTATATTGTGATTTTATGTTCTGTGATCTACAGGTATAGGGGGGCATACAAATTTAATTAATAAAGTGATAAATAAATAAATAAATTGATGATGATGATGATATCACAGTTTTGCCAGGTAGCTCAAGGCCAGCGGCTGTGGTATATTCAGAGGGCCACACACTGAGGCACTGACCAGCCCAGACCTTGGCCACATTCACACCATATATTTACAATTCTACTAAAGTGGTACCTCGGGTTAAGTACTTAATTTGTTTCGGAGGTCCGTTCTTAACCTGAAACTGTTCTTAACCTGAAGCACCACTTTAGCTAATGGGGCCTCCCGCTGCTGCCGCGCCGCTGGCGTGTGATTTCTATTCTCATCCTGAAGCAAAGTTCTTAACCCAAGGTAATATTTCTGTGTTAGCAGAGTCTGTAACCTGAAGCGTATGTAACCTGAAGCATACGTAACCCAAGGTACCACTGTATAAGGAAGGATTTTTTTTTTTTAAGTTTAATGTTTCATTATGTTTTTATATATGTTGGAAGCTGCCCAGAGTGACTGGAGCAACCCAGTATGTGTGTAAATAGTAAACTTATCGTTATGGGATGGGACGCCCGTATTTCCATCGGAGGTATGGAATGCGTTGTGTGAATGCAGCCCTGCTTGAGCTTCATCAGGCTTCAGGTCGCGGCCCGGAACCTCAAGGATTTCGCTGTCAAAATTGCAAGAGGCAACAGCTCTCTGCAAGGCCTTCTCCCACCCCAAACGTAAAACCCCGCTTGGAAACGCTTGGAGGCTGGCGACTTGTCCTTTTAAGACCCGAGGCTTCAGCATCCTCCTTGCTTCTTCCCCAAGACCACCCTGTAAGGCTGGATGACATCATGGGGCACTTGAAAAGACCACTTGTGTTTTGGTGGGAATTTGCAAAGTGGCCCATTAAAAGCACACTTTTTTTTTAAAGGGGGAGGGAGGGAGAGCAAGGGAGAACATGTCTAAGCATTGCAAGCTTTCAAACTGGCGAGCCCCATTTGAGAACTCCCTCACCCCCCCTTTTCCTAACATACTGGTGCAAAGCTGCTGTAGATGAAAGCTCTGGGTTGTGCATTTTACAGTCAATTGTCTCGCCCAAAGGCTAGTTATCACTCCCCGGTTGTGTTATTGCAGTTAATCCAGTTAAATGCCTTTGGGATTGTCAGACCCGCAGCTGAATTCCTTGCTCCTTCTATTAACATGCTTTGTTTAGAAAGAGAAAAGGCCTGTTGTTTAAAAAACCCACTGGGAGCTCAGCGAGACGGCGGCGTGGGTGGGGAGGGTACATAGCTGCGGTGCTTAATTTCTACAGTAAAAGAGAGGTGCCGGGGCTTATGTCCGCCTGGCCTGAGATACTCTTTGGCCTCCCCAGGATTACGTTCTGTATGTATTCATGCGGTGCTTAAAGGCTCGAAGTCACTTCCACGTAGGTTAAACCACAGAGCCTAGGACTTGCCAATCAGAAGGTCGGTGGTTCAAATCCCCGCGACGGGGTGAGCTTCCGTTGCTCGGTCCCTGCTCCTGCCAACCTAGCAGTTCGAAAGCACGTCAAAGTGCAAGCAGATAAATAGGTACCGCTCCGGCGGGAAGGTAAACGGCGTTTCCGTGCACTGCTCTGGTTCGCCAGAAGCGGCTTAGTCATGCTGGACACATGACCCGGAAGCTGTACGCCGGCTCCCTCGGCCAAGAAAGCAAGATGAGCGCCGCAACCCCAGAGTCAGCCACGACTGGACCTAATGGTCAGGGGTCCCTTAACCTTTATTGTATATTGCAGTTGGGCAGTGAGGACTGAGAAAGGAGCTTGCTAAGGACGCAAACTGAGTTCAGTTCTGAGGTGAGATGTACAATGCCATCTCATGTGCACTTTCCATTGAACTTAATGGAAATAACTTCCAAATGAACATGCGTAATGCACTGTACTATTAACCAGAGATGCTCCCAGCACAGTTCTTTTAACTATTTTGGTGCAGCTGCTCCTTAGAAACCATCATCCCCTTGCAAACTGGTTTTCATTAAACACTCCCCAACAAGTCTCTAGTCCTCAAGCCTGTCGAGAAACTGGCTGAAACGTGTGTGATAAATGTGGGATGTAATCCACTGGGAGCAGTCAAATACAACATTCCATGTTTTCCTAGAGGGGACATGCAAGGGGATGTTTGGTCCAGCCAGTCGAACACTTCCTGTTTCCTGCTGGGCTGGAGCATCCTTCCTTTAGCATGTGACTACGGTCCAGGACTTCCTCCGTTGTTGGAGCAGCTTTTAGAAACTGGGATTATCCACATATGGGATAGCTCCACATGTATATACTTTGTAACTAAGTCTGCCTTCAGGGATCCAACTGTGAACTGAATGTGAGTAAACTGCTTTTATATACTTTACACAAGATTGTGGCGTGTTGAGTCTTTTAAGAGGGATATAAGGGAACCTACCAGGAACCTACTAGTGAGAGGCTTACACAAGCAACCAGCTACCCACCGTGTGTTTAAAAGGGGAATGTGAAACTCTGCTAAGTAAAGGAACTTGCTAGCGCAAGTTAGGAAGGATATTAATAAACAATATATCCTCTCCTGCCTCCCTGAACATTCCCACAATAAATAGCAAAATCTCAGGAGATCAGGAAGGGAGTGGGAAGCAGAGAGCAGGATTATCACTGATTCAGACTATCTTGCTGTCCATGGATTTAGCAGATGCAGCAGGAGAAAGGATGTTCAATCAAGCAAATGTATGAGACGCTGCCTGGCTTGCGTTGCATAATTGATGCCGACTGCAGAATCCAGCTTTTCTCAGCTGCTCTGCAGGGTCATGTTGTGCAGAGATCTTACCCCACCCCGACACCCGAGATTGACACATGCCAAACGTATATGTTACCGTCAAGCTATTTATATCGCCCTATGCAATCTTTGCTCTGGACCTAAAGACTTTGCCTGTGCATTCACATTTGACATTTCGTGATCTGAAATCCAGGCGAATACCACATATTGAAAAATGCACGGACTTTTGGGGAATCCAGAGGCGGGGGGGGAATGTGTGTGCTGCCTCGATGGAAAAGCAGAGCAAAATACCAGATGACAACAGCATACCATTAAAGATCAGGGTTGCAAATCTGCACTGATTAATCTGTTAGGTCAGGGTTGTATTTTAAGGTTTTCAGTGCTGGGCTGGTTGCCATAGGAGACCAGGAATGCTATGCTGGCAACTAAGTGTAATAATAATAATAATAATAATAATCCACTCAACCACTCTGGGTGTCTTCCAGCAAAATATAAAAACACAATAAAACCTCAAACATTAAAAACTGGCCTTCAAATGTCTTCTAAAAGTCAAATACTTGTTTATCTCCTTGACATCTGATGGGAAGGCATTCCACAGGGTGGGTACCACTACTGAGAAGGCCCTCTGCCTGGTTCCCTGTAGCTTCACGTCCCGCAGTGAGGGAACCACCAGAAGGCCTTCGGAGCTGGATCTTAGTGTCCAAGCTGAACGATAGGGGTGGAGACACACAATGAAATGCAGGAGAAGCTTCCGATCCTTCTCACACTGTAGTGCAAAAGTGTGCAATTATATTTTTTGCCCTTCCTCCTTGCCTTGCCCTCACTCTGAACACTTTGAGTACTTGAGTAAATGTAATAATTTCTAATGTGGCTATTGCGGTAAAATTACTCCTTTGCTGACCCCTGGTTTAGACATTGTGAAGCTAGATAGACCAGTGTTTTGACTCAGGCAGGGTAAGGCAGCTTCCCATGTCCCCCACGCAGGAGGTAATATTCTAAGATGGTGCCTTCTGCTCCAACATGTATTTGGAACATATTTTCTTTAAGCAGGCACCCCCTTCCAAAACACCTCATCATATATTATGCAGATTTACAGCCCACTCCTATACATGTTTAATTGGAACACAGGGCGTTGCCCAAACAACGCATTCCATCATTGCAAGGATTTCTGCTTGTGCAATGGAACCCCCCGTGTGCCCCCAAATATTTCCCCAACCCTCCAGAGAATAGGGGAGGGTGCAATGTGTGTACAAGCGAGAATTCCCCCATGAAAGTGGAAATCTTTGTAGTGATGGACTATGCTAGTTGGATACCAACCCAAGACCCACTATATTCAGCGAATAAATCATTTAGTCAGATTTAAACTGATTAAAACTCATTGGATTTTATTAATCAGCCAATTATTTTTTTAAAAGAACCAGGTAATATAGCATTACTAACAATAAAACACATGTACCAATTTTCTTTTTTTTATAATCTTTATTGGTTTTTCAGTTACATATTCCACATACACATATTGTATTGCATTTTACATTTATATTTGCTCCTAAGAGCTGGCTTCCCTCCTTCCTTCTTCTGGCTTTTTTATATTGCATCTAAATTTTTCTCATTGTCTCCATCCATTTTGTATATCGTTCTTCTTCTTCCATATTTGTCCATAGAATATCTATAAACAAATAAATCCTTCTATATATATATATACAATTCTTGTTGTCTGTCTATATTCATTTACAGGTACTATCAGTTACATTAGTCACATTATACTTTTGTTTTTATTATCCAGTAAATTTCTTTATATTTCACATTATGAGGTTTGTTTCTGTTCTACTGGTTTCACTATTTCACCTTATCTTTCCTATGTACGACATAAAATTTTCCCATTCTTTATGAAATGTTTCATCGCCCTGTTGTCGAATTTCCCCCGTTAATTTAGCTATTTCAGCATATTCCATTACCTTCTGTCGCCATTCTTCTACTGTTGGCAATTGCTGTTGTTTCCAAACCTGGGCTAATAATAACCTCACCAACGTTGTTGCATATAAGAACAATTTCTGATCTGTACCAATTTTCATTTCACAACATGATATACTGTATTTTTCGCTCTATAAGACGCACCAGACCACAAGACACACCTAGTTTTTGGAGGAGGAAAACAAGAAAAAAATATTCTGAATCTCAGAAGCCAGAACAGCAAGAGGGATCGCTGCGCAGTGAAAGCAGCAATCCCTCTTGCTGTCTGGCTTATGGGATAGCTACGCAGCCTGCATTCGCTCCATAAGACAAACACACATTTCCCCTTACTTTTTAGGAGGGAAAAAGTGAGTCTTATAGAGCAAAAAATACGGTATTTATTCCTGCGGTTATTCATCAGTAACGCCAATGTGTGAGTTAGCGCTTGTGCATGAGACGGAGGAATCGGAAATGTATATCTCATCCCTGGGAGGAAGCAGAGCATGGAAAGCACCTCTTACTTCTAGAGAAAGTGAGTAAACGTTAATCTTTAACAGGGTTGCATGGAAGTCAATTGGACAGCTGTACCAGTTCGGTTGCGTAAACTCCGACTGGGTTCTTGGCTTCCAGAAGGCCAAGGAGGGGCTGAATCAATAGGAGATGGGTTTAATGTGTAACTCAAAGGCTGTGATGTTGACTTTGAACTTCTCCTGGCCCTGCCTCAAATATACCCTGGAAGATGGAAACCCACGCAGCTCTAGCAGTGCCTAGCAAAGTCTCCCTGTCCGCGAAACTCCACCCTACTTCCATGGCCGCAACTTAAGTCAAGAAATGTCAAACAATTTAATCACCTGACTTTATCTCAGCTGTGTAAATGTAATGCTTCTGAATTGGGAAGCGACATTTCCTTTGTTTCTAGAAGGCGCACACAGGTCTTGAGGCAGGCACTAACTTGAAAGAAGCGTTTGCTCTGTGTATGAGAGGCAGGGTGGAAGCTGAAGGGACCCTGGAAAAAAGAGAAAACGCATCCCCAAAAGAGAGGGCAAGAGGGCAGAGATTTGTACAAAATTTGCCAGGTGTGTATGCATAGAGTAGGGCACATGGTAAGGGCAAACACTTCTTTTAGACCAGTGGTGTCCAAACTTTTTTCAAGGAGGGCCAGATTTGATGAAGTGAAGGGCTGTGGGGGCCGACCAAAGTTGTTGACTTTTTTAAAAAAAGGATTGAAGCATAGCTGTCAACTTTTCCCTTTTGTTAAGTGAAATTCCCTTATTCCGAATGGGATTCCTTGCAAGAACAGGGAAAAGTTGACAGCTGTGGGTTGAAGTTGTTTTTTAATGATTTTAGCCCAAAGTTAAACTGACTGGCGGGCCGGATTGCACCCCCCAAACGGACTTTGGATATGCCAGTTTTATTCCATTCTCCCGACATTTCCTGACCTGATAATTTCTGCCTTTTAATGGGATCTTTCACACAACTTTAAGAGGTGTCATTTGCATCTGATTCTTTTTTAAAAATAATAAAAAAAAACTATTTGCAATCTTGTTAATTTAGAAAATCGCAGGAATGTTGCACTGTGTTTTCATGGGAGAAATCTGGGCCGGTATCCTGGCATGCAGTTCTTTCCCACTGTTTAAAAAGCCACGGTTCCATAATGCAACAGGTGTTGCTGCCGCTGCTGCAGTGCAAAAGGGAATGTTTGAAATTGGGACAGAAGCGCGAGGATTATAACCAGGAAAACTAACGCAATAAACCCCCAGGTCTGAATGCAGCCATAAAATGGCACTTGCGATCTCCTGTTTGCATAAACACTTGTGTTAAAAATGCAAAGCAGGAATCTATTTTGGTGCTGAGCAGTATATAAAATAATAATAATAATAATAATAATGGGAGAGGGGAATCATCTGCTTGCTTAATCCAAGCATTGACTATCAACTTTCTAACCAATTACTCTGAGGAGTAATTCAATAGTAGTCATCAAGTCTCATCCATAGGATGGAAATGGCTGCTTTCATTTGGCTTTTCACCTGTTGTTGGCCTGTTTGTTGGTTGGGGACCACTTGACTGTTTTATGGAAGTGAGGTTGGACTGGATGGAGTGATCAGGAGGCTATAAGGAGAGTGAGGGGTTATAAGAGCACCACGGTTCCTGAATTCCTGATTTGCATTATTACATGTGAGGCTCTTCTTTTTCTTCTTTTTAAAGATACAGTGGTACCTCAGGTTAAGTACTTAATTCGTTCCGGAGGTCCGTACTTAACCTGAAACTGTTCTTAACCTGAAGCACCACTTTAGCTAATGGGGCCTCTCGCTGCTGCTGCGCCGCCAGAGCACGATTTCTGTTCTCATCCTGAAGCAAAGTACTTAACCTGAAGCACTATTTCTGGGTTAGCGGAGTGTGTAACCTGAAGTGTATGTAACCTGAAGTGTATGTAACCGGAGGTACCACTGTACATATTTTCATGGTGTTGTATTCTGATGTTGTATCTTCATGCATTTTTAAAATATGATTCGCTTTAGTTTTTTCCTTTATTTTATGTACATTGTTTTGAGAGGTGGATTGTTTAATTATGTTACATAAAATGAGGTTTTTTAAAATTATGATTGTGTTATTTATTTGTTGCATTTATATACCACTTTTTCCTCCAGGGAGGCTAGGCCAAGATGATGACTTGCTGAAGGTCATCAAGCAGGGATGTGAATCCTGGTTTCCCAAGTCCTACCTAATCTGACACTCTGGCTCTCAGCAGTAGCTGCACTGGGTGTGGAATCTGTATTTTTACATTTTTTGTTGTTGAAATATGTAAACCACATACAGAAATACATATATATATATATCTCCAAGTTAGTAATAATAATAATAAATTTTTATTTATACCCTGCCCTTCCTGGTTTAAAAACCCCGGTCTCAGGGCGGCTAACAGCAAATATAAAACATTGATTCGAATGCGACTTAAAAACAGCATAAGCAGCATAAAATACAATATAAAATGCAGCATCAATATCAATAAAATTCAAAAATTCAGGGGGCATTGAGGGGGGAAGGGTTTCTTCATAGAAGAGGAAAGGGAAAAAGGGAATAGAAGATCAGGCTGGTTCAGATTGAAGGCCAGGCGGAATAGCTCTCTTACAGGCCCTACAGGAGGAGATCAATAGGTACAACTAAGCCAGGTCTATGCATGGCTAGACCCATACTTTTCTCCCCCATTTATTAATTGATATTTTATTGGGGGGAAAATCAAATGTAAAGCAGTAAAGTGACACAAAAGGAAGAAAAAGGGGGAAAGAACAAAACACAGAACTGTGTAAAGCCGGGGAGGGGGGAAGGAAACATTATATGAATATATACAAAAAATACCCTAACCCGTACATTCTTTTGTAAATTTGATATCATTATCCTAATACTAATAGGAATCCTAATACTAATAGGAATATTAATAGTCTACTACGTTTTGTATAGATTCGTTCCTAATATTGTCGTATTTATCCGAGCAGAGTCTACGTTTGTAAGCAGTCCGCTCGTAGGTTGCAAGTGTTATCATATTATCAAAACAATGGGCTTGGCCCATACTTTGCCACTGGAGAGCAGGACGTAACAGGCCTTAACCCCAAAACCTGTCCTTAATACCAAGAAGGGTTTATAAAAAAGTGGTTATGTACACAACCATACAATTAAAGCACCCACTCCCAATAACTTGGGAACTGTAGTTTATCCCTCACAGAGCCAAAGTTCCCAGCACCCTTCGCAAACTACAGTTCCCGGGATTCTGACAACGGGGTGGGAAGAATGGGCTTTCAATGGACAGGATGTACATTGCAACCAGGACAATTCTGTGAATCGGATGACTTTTTGGTCCCTGAGGCAAAAACTCCAGCTGCCAGCCCAAGGGGGAGAGCCACCATCTTTTCCTTCCCCTCAGGCAGCAAAATGGGAGCCATTTGTAAGACTGTCACTGAAATAAGAGGAGCTATCCACACTTCCTGGAGGTAAAGGTGAGAGATAGAAATGCTTTAAATATATTTATTTTTTGATTTCGCGAAGAAGACAGGATTGTTTCTGTTAAGTCACTTCGAGTTGTAGTCCAGCAACACCTGGAAGCCACCAAGCTGGCGAACGCTGCAGGTAAGCAAAACAAGTCACCCCATCCGAGGCATAGCTGGATAGCTCTGTCGGTAAAGCATGAGATTCCTAATCTCAGGGCCGTGGGTTCAAGCTGCGTGTTGGGCAAAAGATCCCTGCATTGCAGGAGGGTTGGACTGGATGACCCTCAGGGTCCCTTTATACAGTTCTATGATTTTTAGCTAGGCCTGGGGACACCAGAGCTCAAATCCTCACCCAAGCTCGCTGGGTGAACTTGGGCCAGCCGCAGACTCTCAGCCTGCCCTACCTCACAAGGTTGTTGTGAGGATAAAAACAGCGTGGGTGGGGGGAGAGCCATGTTTGCCACATTGAGCGCCTTGGGAGAAAGGCAGACTACGAATGTGTCATAATAATAATAATGATAATGATGTAAACTTCTGACTTGGTGAGACCAACGTGGAAATGCGATCTTTAAAGGCTGAACGCCTCCTCCCTGTTTATCTGGCAGTAAGTCCCATTGAGCTCAGTGGGATCCCCTTTGGCACAGACACGTGTAAGGTCTGGGCTGTTTTGCAGTCAAGACTAAAATGAGGAGAGCAACCCTTTCCTCTCCTTTGCAGCTAAAAGCAATTCAAGTACGTTTGAGTACATAATTATATGTAATGTGAGAGAGAGAGAGAGAGAGAGAGAGAGAGAGAGTGTCTCTCTCTCTCTCTCTCTCTCGATCTCTGTATCTATTTCTATGCATGCTCCCATACAATCCTCGCCCCTGAACCCGGCTGCTGGGAGGCAGAGGGCGTGCTTTTGCTTAATCATGGCGATTCCCTTTCGCCTTATAAATAAAGTACAAGGTGGATTCCTTAAGGTTACAACGGGGGATCTGCGCAGAAGCCTCGTCGGCTGTTGATCCCTCCTTCCCCCTCTCTCCTTCCCTCCCTCCTCCCTCCCCAGTGCCGCAGAGAAACCCGGGGCGAGGTGACAAGGCAGGGCTGGAGGCGGCGGCGGCGGCAAGGAGGCGAAAAAGGGACCCCCCCTCCCAGACCATTGATATAAAGCAATGCCGGAGAGTTGCGGGGCGCTTGCCAGAAGATCGCCCTCTTCCCGCCCAGCCCTCGGGCTCCGATCTCCAATCCCTTTGCTCCTTCCACTTCCGCCTCTTTTATTTTTATATATATTTGGGGGTGGGGGGCGCGAGGTGGCGCGGACGCCGGTGCGGCGTGGTGCAGCTCGGCGCTGGTAGTGCGGTACGCCGGGCGCCCTAGACTCTCCCTCTCGGCTCGGAAGCGGCAGACCTACACGAGTCTAGGGCCGCCTGCCGGGAGCCGACCACGGTGTAGGGCGGAGGTTTGGGGGGGGGGGGAGGAGGAGCTGGTGCCTGGGCAGGGACACAGGGAGGGGACCCCGCACCGCGCCGCCTGGGGAACATTTTGGAGACTCCGAAAAGGGACGCCGGCTGCAAAGAGCCGTCCCTTCCCTCGGAGTCCGTGCGCCCTCATGTCTCCGCCTGATCAACCTTGCTGGATTTTTTGCTTTTTAAATTAAAAACCACAGTGACTATTTTATATATTTTTTTGCAAAGAATCCGTGCCCAAAGTGGCTCCGTTTCCTCTAGCAAATCTTCCGGTCCTATTAATATTTTGGTCTTTTCCCCTTCCTCTCCCCGCGAAAAAGCAAACGAGCAAGAAGATTCCTGTTTCCCTCGCGGAAGAAGGGTGCACACTTGCAGAAAGGACGTTGATCCTTTATTATTTCTTCCCCCCCACCCCTCCTCCCGCTCCCAACAGAAGTACAGTATATACATGCGAATCTAATATTATCAAAGGGGCGTGGATGCGCCTTGCAGAGAAGGGTGCATTCGCAAAAGATCAGCTAGCGATCTTTCCCCTCTCTCCTTTTCCCATCTCGCTGCGGGGTGGGTGGGTATTTAGAAAGCGGGTTGGGGTGAGCGGTGGGGGGGGGGGGCGCGGGCGGGTGGAGAGAGAGGAAGAGCGATTGAGAAGGAGGGACTGGTAACTCTCCGCATGTCTGGAAGGGGGCGAGCTGTCTCCAGACACAGGTGATGGGCGTTTCGGCGGCCTGCTAGGGTTTCACTTCGCTGCGATCTAAGCAAATATGCAGAAGTACCGGCTGGTTTAGTCCTGCGAAAGCCAAGGGAGGCAACGCGCAGGAGAAGCGAGCGAGCGAGAGGAGCGACAGCGATCAGCTGCAAAGCCCCCTTTTCCCCACCACCACCCGCGTATTTTTTATTTTTTGGAGAGCGAAGCGGGGTGGGGTGGGGTGGTGGGGGGAAACCAAGAACCGCCACCCCCTTGTAAGCTTCGTCTTCCTTCCTTCTCCCCGTGGCGCCTCTACCCGAGGAGAGAAACCCCGCGCGCAAAAGGAGACCCCGATCGATCCTCTGTGAAATCAATAAATCCAAAGAGAGCCGTCCCCCCCATCCTCCCCGCCGCCACCCCGATCAGCGCCCAAGCCGGAGAGAACTCCACACCGGTGTGGCGATCCCTCTGAGGGATGGTTGTTATTTTCCCAGCCCAGGGAGGCGGGCTGGTGCTCCTCCTTCGCAGCCCCGTTGAATTGTATTCCTGGCTACAGTGCATGAGACCGCGATGAGGACCTGGGCAGGATTTTGGCTCATAGGGTTGTGCTACCTGGCCATCGTGCTGGCGGAGGTAGGTGCTTCGCCGTTGGAAATCGGGGGTTTGGAGGTGGGGGGGGGGGAGAGATCCGGGCGGCGGCGGCAGTAGCAGGCTCAAGATCCCTGTCTTTATTTTATTTTTCTTAAGCCTGAACTATTTCTATAGTTTTGCATGACAAGTGTAATTCTTCCTTCTTCCCCTTTCCTTCTTAATGTTTTGGATGAGAGGCTGATCTCTCCAACCTCCCCCCTCCCCAAGCCCAAGTCGGAAGACCTACTATGTTTGCAATACCATGGATGGCTTTAGCTTCGCCCTGGATGAAGGAGGGAGGGGAAAGGGAGAGAGAGAGAGACTCGCTTCTAAAATCTTGCAAAAGATCAAGTACTGTAGTGAGGGAGTGGTGGTGGTGGAGAGCCGCTCGTCACGTTAAGATGCATGGCTGCGATCCGAATTAAGATCGTGCAGCGCGCTGGTTTCCCCGGGGCTGGCATGGAGGCGGGGGTTGCACTGCTTGCTGTGTGTGCCCTTACACGCGTGTAAAACGTGCGAGCGTTCGAACGCGCGTTGCAAGTCCCCTGGAACGGTTTGCAAACGGCGCCCTGGGTCGGCGCGAGTGCCGCCTGGCGAGCGGGGTGGGGAGGCGAGTTGGGAAGAGGGATTTTAATAGCGCGGTTTCCTGTTAATGAGAAGCTAGCATGAATCTGCTAAAATAGAATAATAATGAAGCAATTAGGCTAGTGGGTTTCTAATTGATGTAGCAGAGCCTTGCTTTGGCATTCCAGAGGGAGCGGCGCGTTACCTCCATCCACCTTAGGAATTCACTTTATAAGGTCAGAAGAGATAAAATCATAGCGTGTTTACTTGGAAGCATATCCCACTGAGTTCAGTGGGTCCACCTGCCCTGACCAAAGTAGGTGCACTGTTTAGGATTCCGGCATTATTTGGGGGAAAAGGACGAGTTCCCTCTAAGCCTGCTTATTGCTCTTTATGGGCATATTTTGGATTTTCACGGGCATAGTTTTGGATTTGATAAAATCTCTCCCTCTCCTCTCCTCTTCCAATTTTGAGGATTATTACAGGTGGCCATTTCTGGGGGAAAGAGATGTGGGAATTAAATGACTTATAAGGAAGGACATCTCTTTTAAAAGGTACACTGGATTGACCTTGCTTGTAAACACTGTGATGTGTAAAATTATAGCTCCCAAAGCAGCTTTTTTGCAGTCTTCCGACGTGGGAAACCTGTAGGATTGTATTAGTTCTGGATCTATAATCTCCCCCTCCCTCTGTCTCTCTCTGTCTCCCCCTTCCTTCGCATTCCCAACCAGACAGATTTTTTTTTTAAGTGAGGGGGAGTTAAGTACTAAGCTGACACCAATGCCAACCTAAAACTTTATTACTGTGCTAACTTTCCTGCTGCTGAAAAGAAATGCAGGGATAAATATCTCTTACGCTGCAAACCGAGTGTGTGTAATTAAGAAAGAGAGGCGATTTTCAAGTACATACGTAGGAGGAGGAGGAGGAGGAGGAGGAAAGTCCTTCCTGGTCTGATCCAATGCATGTTTGCAAAGCCCTGTCTGAGTTCAAGAGGACTTACTCCCCAGGGAGAGCTCATAGGATTGCTTTCTTGGAAAGTCTCCCGGGAGTTGGCTGGGTTACTGAGCTGTGCTGCCTTTAAACTTGATCTATCTCATGCCGTGGGGTTTTTTTTAACGATGGTGCCCAGGGACACCCTTCTCCCTGCCCCAACAGCCCAATCCTAAACAGGGTTACTCAGGAATCAGTTCTGTTCATTTTGCACAGGACTTACTCCCAAGTAAGTGTGCATGAAATGGCAGCTAAGCAGCCTGTACCTGTATACGGTTACTAATTCCTGCAGAATTCAATAGGATTTACTTCCAATGAAGTGTGCTTGGGATGTGAGTCAAAAACCAACCAACCAGTGTTCCACCCTTTTTTTGCCTTTCAAACTTGCTGGACTTCCTCCGAAATCAAGGAAGCGAAATTCCCTGGGTGAGAAACACAGTCTTTCTGACCCCCTCCTCACAATCAGGTGGGGCCCCAAACAGTTTCCAACCTCCTGGCGAACGCAGGCAAAATGTAGGCACCTGCCAGATAGCAGCAGAGTTTCATGGCAAGGATTTGTGTTGCTTGGTGCAATGCTGGATGCGGCTTCAAAATGATGATGATGATGATGATTTAAATTGCCCTTTAGCAGTTGGAGGAAGGGGGGAGAGTAGATTAGAGAGCAGGCGAAGAGGCTTCAGTGGCCACAAGATGCAACCCTACAGGCTGTACTCAGAAAGTGTTTTTGGAGTGAGAAGAGAGAGCGATCAGCCTGTGTCTGTCTTTCTGTTTTCTTTTTTTAAGGAAGCTGAGATCCCTCAAGAGGTGATTGAAAGGCTGGCTCACAGCGAGATCCACAGCATCCGTGACCTGCAGCGCCTCCTGGAGATTGACTCCGTAGGTAAATTATTTCCATGCTTTTCCCCCTTACTTTCTGCTTTTTTGAGATGATAAACGAATTGCCAGTTAAATCCATGTCATCTTACGAAACGGTCAAAGAGAAAAAGAGAGAGATACTGCTTTGGGGAGTGATGCGTTTTCCTTAAAAACCTCTGTGGGGAGTCGCCGGCGGCTCTGCACATGGGACTGATGCTTTCCAAATGTCTTCTGTCCACTCTTAAATTCGCTCCTGCTTTGGGCAGGCAGATGGAACCCAAAGGTCAGCTTTCAGGGATGCAGGCTGAGTCAGGCATTTTTCCCAAGCCGCGGGAACATTTCGGCCTCAGGACAGAGAGTCACTGCTTCCAGCCCGACCCAGCGTTGTATTTTGAGTTCTTGCACGTCTGTGTGTATAGGGGATGCATCTTAAAAAACACGGCAACCTTGCTGGATTGAAGGAAGGAGTGGTCTGGCTTGGTTTATTGTCTTTTCCTGGGTGCTTCTACAAGCAGGGTTTGAAGCAATCGCCTTCCCCAGAAGGTTGACCCCCAGGCAACCTGAATTCTGCAGTACAGAGCCTTTGGAGCTTGGCCCCCTGTTTTGCCATTATGGCTAGCAGCGCTTGTGTGTCTGACCAGATCAGTTGTGCTCATGCTTTTGAACTGTTGGTTGTGTGGCTGTGATTGTGTTTGACATCCAGTGACGGAACTCCTGCTTTCGGTGGTCTACACGAGCAGGGAACTTCTTTTGCTGCTGTTTTTATTTTTTATTTTTTGGCATTTGTGCCTTGCCTTTCTTCAAAGCAAGAATTGTGAAATTCTACTATGACTTTTCATTTATGTGGTACAAAATGTGGAAAATGTACTTAAATTCTTCATTGGGTTCACATGTGCAGTAATCTTAGTTTGTGTTGTGCGGGGTTTTTTTGTTTGTTTGTTAATATTCCATTTTTGCAGCAGGGAACTGAGGATGACAGCTAAGGCCTAACTAAGTTGGACTTTGAACTCACAGGGTTGCACCCAATGTTTGTCCCACTCAGAATAGACCTGTTAAAATTAATCAACACAGTTCTCGTCGGCCCACTGATTTCAGTGGTGCAACTCAGAGTAGGACTTAGTTGGATGCACACATTCTGCCCATCTATAAAATCAAAATGTTCCCCTACTTTTGATTGGACAGATTTAGGGTTGGTTCACCCATGCTTTTACCATCACGTGATTTTCCTTCATTCAGCAGGCAATCCTTTCCTGGGAGTAAGCCCCATTGTACTCGAGGAGGCCTACCTGTGAGTAGGCATGCAGAAGATTACCTGAGGGCTGCTGGCTTAATGTGTGAAGTTCCACCCAAAAGTATTGTGTTTGGATTGAGTCAATACGGAAATTCTGTCTGCAGTGTTAGCTGATGTTGCAGTCATCAAGTGATGAATGTGTCTGGGTGAACCATGGAATTTCAGCTGCCACAGGCAAACTTCGATAGAGGATCCTGTGCACGTGGTGGTTCTTTCCTAATGTAAAAATGGGGTATTTATTTGTGTGTAGAGTTCCTAACTGGCCTGCTCTTGCAAGATACTATACCTGTGTGTCAGAACTCTACACTTTGCATGATCAGCAATGCAGCTTCAATATAGCCTCATAATTTAAACCTCCCCACAGCCCAGAAGTGTTGTAGGTGGCTGTGACTTTTATAGGTTCAGGATAATTTCTCCAACCAGGAAGAACTCCCATCACATTGCCTCTAATTCATGCCACTGTGTTGTTATCTTCAAGATCTATTGCCTTGGGTTCATTTGTAAAAAAATATTCCAAGTCGTGTTTATGAATGAAGTCATGTCTCTACAAGATGGTGGTGGCTGCTTTCTTCTTCTTCTCCAGTGAAAGGAAAAATAAACTCCTTCCTTTTGACTTTAAACAGAAAGCCTGCTCCATTGAGCTTCCAAACAATCGGCATTCACATTTTTTATTTTTTATTAAATAGCCCAAGGTTATTTTCTGCATCATTAGATCTACAAATGCTTCGAAGGGCAAACGTGCAATTTGCTAATATTTCTGTACTGCAACAGACCCATCCTGCTATTAAATCTGATCTCTCACAGTTGTCATTGTTGAGTCCAAGCAGATTTCACGATTATGTACTATGCCGGGAGTGATTGCTTTGTTTATTTTGCAAAAAAATATGAAAGGGGAGGGGGGGAAATGCTATTTATTTATTTATTCTTTTAAAGGCAAGGGAAGTCTCTACCAATCTTGTATCCTGAGTCAGGAATCTGGCATGTCGCTGCTTGTGTTGTTAATAGTGGAGCTGCTCCATTTAAACAAAGACTGCATAGTTGCTATGCTTTTTTTCCTTCCAAAAAATAAAATAAAATTGCAGGGGCCCTTTGAAAGTTCCTCCTGAGTTACTTCACAGATACATTCCTCCCCTCCCCTCAGGAGGAGCGCTCTAATTTCAGTGGGCCTACTCTAGGGGACATAGCATCAAGTTTGCATCCAAAAGGTAGGATCCACTGGGAACAGTTTTGCTTGGCAAGTCTTACTTCCATAGAGCTGCAGAAGTTGCAACCAAAATGACTGTGTCTTTCCCTGCAAGGGCAGTTGAGGGCATTTGGGGGAGTTGGGCAGGAGGAAGACCACAAACAGCACAGTTCTGTTGTAATATCTGCTCTGAGGTCAGCCCTGCTGGGTTCAATGGGAGTTGGTCCCAGCTAGGTGTGAAGCCCAGCGAAGAGTATGATAGAGCAGGAGTGGCCCACCTGTGGTCCTCAGCATGTTGTTGGATTGCAGCGCCCATCAGCCAAAGTCAGCATGGCCAGTTGTCAAGGGTGATGGGAGATGTAGTCCCGGCAACATAAAGGCGGCTTCCTTCCTTGCTGTAACACCTGCTCCACGATGGTTGTGAAATGGAAAACTTAATGAATCTGAATGTTAGAAAGTTTGGGTAAAACAAAGCAAGTCTTCACCCAACATCCAACGAATGTATCAAAACCACTGTCTTCAGGTCTTTAACAGGAGATCAGACAAATTTTGGGGGAAAGGGGTCTGTGACTGGCTGCTAGCCATGATAACTGCATAGCAGATGTAGGGAACTTTGGGGTCTCTCGATGTTGCTGAACTACAGTTCCCATCACCCCGGCAAGCGTGGTTGTTTTGTTGGCCGAGGATGATGGGAGTTGTAGTTTCACAGCACTTGGAAGGGCTAAAAGTCCCCCAGACTTGCTATATAGGGTTGTATTCCAATGTGAGTCATACTCAAGAGTAGACCCATTGAAATGAATGGGCCCAAGCAAGTTAAGGTCATTAATTTTAGTGGGTCTGCTTGGAGCATGATTAACGTTGGATCTAATCCAAGGAATTCTAATAGCTACATAGAACCTCCATGTTCAAGGGCAGTATACCACCGGGAGGTGAGAGATGGGCAACAGTCTTCATTGCCTTCATAGCCTCCTCTGGATTTCCTAGACGTGTCTGGTTAGGAAGCAGGATTAGGTGGGCCTTTAGAATCCTATGTTAAGACCCTCAGAGATCCATCTAGTCCACCAACCTTCTTCTCAGAATTGTCATAAGAATGCAAGAAGAGTCTTGCTGGCTCAGTCCAGAGGTCATTCTTGTCCAGTGATCTGTTCTTAAAGTGACCAGTCAGACGCTGATGGGCAGTCTACAAGCAAGGCATGAACACTGTTCCCACTCAGGTTCCCAAGGATTCTATGGTTTTGAGAGACATGTTCTACCCAGTAGTGAAGGTAGTGCTATCAGCTTTTAATACCAGGAGCTGAGACCTGGAGTAGGTGAAGCTGCTGCTAAGCCAATATGCAAAGTTCCCTCCCCACACCCCTAAGTAACGCAGCATTTCCTCACTTCAGTTAGGATTAAGGAGCTGGTGTAACATAGTGGCTGAAGGAACTGAGCCGAGAGCATCTCTGCTTTAACACTACAGTGTTATGTATGTTGGTGTGGAAGTAAGTCTCATAATGGAAAGTGCGCTTAGATTGCACATCTCACCTTGTCCTTGAACTCACTGAGTGTCCTTAGCAGGGTCTCCTGAAGCGCAAAAGAAGAATCCAGCTGGAACAGGACCAAAGGGCCGTTCAGTCCAGTACCCAGCTCTCCCAGCGATCAGTCAGAGGCATATGGGAAGCCCAAAAGCAGGACATGAGCACAATGTCCTTGCCCTTTCCTGCTCATGTTCCCCAGCATCCGATATTAGGGACTTACTGCCCCTGATACTGAAGGTCTTGGTCTGGTCAGTGTCTGGATGGGTGACCGCCTAGGAACTACATGTACGCTGCTTTGGGTTCCTTGTATGTAGGATGTAAGAACAAAATGCGGGGTGAGCTCCCATTGCTTCATCCCAGCTCCTGCCAACCTAGCAGTTCGAAAGCACACCAGTGCGAGTAGATAAATAGGTACCACTGCGGCGGGAAGGTGAATGGTGTTTCAATGTGCTCTGGTTTCCGTCACAGTGTTCCCTTGTGCCAGAAGCGCTTTAGTCATGCTGGCCACATGACCTGGAAAAGCTGTCTGTGGACGAACGCCGGTTCCCTCTGCCTGAAAGCGCCGAAAACCCATTATCACCTTTGACTGGACACCTTCCAGGGGTCCTTTAACTTTTACCTTTGTGGTTAGAGGCTAGGATTCAAATCTCCACTCAGTCATGAAACAAACTGAGTGATCTCCACTCGCTTCATTCATATTTTTACCTGTCCCCATCATGTCCCAAATAGCTCCGTTGGTTAGAGCATGGTGCTGATAAGACCAAGGTTGCAGGCTCACAACAGCTGCATGTTCCTGCATTGCAGGGGGTTGGACTGGATGACCCTCAGGGTCCCTTCCAGCTCTACGATTCCATGTTCTGTGTCCTCTCCTATTTGCCTCTTTTATTTTGTTGTTAACCAAGAAGCCCCAAATGTTGCAAACTTTCCTTATGCGGGGGCTGGCCTCAGCCGCTTGACCACTGCGTCTGACAAAATATTTCCGGAAGTCTACAAGTGGGGTGTGAAGGTAACAGCCCTCAACTCTTGCATGCATAAGAACATAAAGGGAACTTGCTGGATCCGGCCAGTGGCCCATTGAGTCCAGCATCCTGTTCTAGATGCCTGTGGGAAACCCACAAGCAGATCCTGAGGGCAAGAGCAGTCTCCCCTCCTGTAGTTTTCGGCAATGGCATTTGGGAGCATTGCTGCCTGCAGCTGGAAGCAGAACATAGCCTTTGTGACTAGTAGACATTGATATTCTTCTCCATGAATTTGCCCAATCTATTTTAAGCCATCCAAGTTGGTGGCCATCACTGTTTCCCATGGGAGCAAGTTCCATAGTTAACCTTGCTCTGTGCAAAGGAAGTACAGTGGTACCTCGGGTTACAGACACTTCAGGTTACAGACTCCGCTAACCCAGAAATAGGACCTCAGGTTAAGAACTTTGCTTCAGGATGAGAACAGAAATCGCGTGGCGGCAGCGGGAGGCCCCATTAGCTAAAGTGGTACCTCAGGTTAAGAACAGTTTCAGGTTAAGAATGGACCTCTGGAACGAATTAAGTTCTTAACCCAAGGTACCACTGTATTTTCTTTTACCTGTTTTCAGAAGTACTGAAGTTGAGTTGTTCACGTCTTTGTCAGGCCTTCCTGATCTGACAGGGCTGTGATATCATCATGCTTGTGGGGCCTTAGCCTGACAGTGCTATCCTGTGGCACCATCCTACTGTCAGGGTTGGTAGGAATTGGCGCTGAAAATATTGTGTGGGCTGCTTTGAAGGAATTCTTGTGTAGGTTCTGCATGTTTATGGAAGGCATAAGGCATTCCTTGGATTGGGATGGTATTTTGGAACAAAGGATGCTATGCAAGCGGACAGCTTTGATTCATAATTTGTGAGAAGCCAGGAGTATTTTATTGTGCAGCTGTAGATCAGCACAAGAAGGCCCCGGTGTCGTCTTGAGTTGCCAAGATCTGTTTCTGCCCCCTGTGACATTTCTGTAGTTTTTGCTTGCGATCTGAGGAGCAAGCTCAGAAGCTTGGGAATGTCCAGAGAGTTTAGGTATTTTACATCTCCCTTTTAAAACTGCATATCACAAAGTATCTACGCAGACACAAGTGTATGTACAATTTTTTTAAAAAATAAAAAACCCCACCTAAATGGCAAAGAACCTAGTCTGTCAATTACGTTGTGTTCTGGTGGGTTTGGGCTTCTGAACCTAGTCTCAGATTCTATAGACCTTGATGTGCCAGGCAGGTTGAATGCCCATCCCCACCACAAATTTCTTCATTAAATTTTCAGCACGACTGGACTCTTGTCAACTGAATGGTCCCTTTTATTTATTGGAGGTACTCATGCAAGGAAACACTGGTTTCTTAAGGAAGGATTTAATATTGTGTTTTAATTGTTGTTACCTGCCCCTGGGACCATTGCATGAAGGATGGGTAATAAATGGTGGTGGTGGTGGTGATCCTGAATGGGGTAATTGTGCCCCTGAAAGACCAGGTGTGCAGCCTGGGAGTCATTTTGGACTCACAGCTGTCCAAAATGCAGGTCAGTTCTGTGTCCAGGGCAGCTGTCTACCAGCTCCATCTGGTAGGCAGGCTGAGACCCTACCTGCCCGCAGATTGTCTTGCCAGAGTGGTGCATGCTCTAGTTATCGCCTGCTTGGACTACTGCAATGTGTTCTACGTGGGGCTACCTTTGAAGGTGACCTGGATACTGCAACTAATCCAGAATGCAGCAGCTAGATTGGTGACTGGGAGTGGCTGCTGAGACCACATAACACCGGTCCTGAAAGACCTACACTGGCTCCCAGTACATTTCCAAACACAATTCAAAGTGTTAGTGCTGACCTTTAAATCTCTAAACGGCCTTGGCCCAGTATAACCAAAGGAGCATCTCCACCCTCATCGGTCAGCCCAGACACCGAGGTCCAGCTCTGAGGGCCTTGTGGTGGTTCCCTCACAGCGAGAAGTGAAGCTACAGGGAACCAGGCAAAGGGCGTTCTCTGTAGTGGTGCCCGCCCTGTGGAACGCCCTCCCATCAGGTGTCAAGGAAATAAACAACTATCTGACTTTTTGAAGACATCTGAAGGCAGCCCTGTACAGGGAAGTTTTTAATGCTTGAAATTTTATTCTGTTTTTAGTCCTCTGTTGGGAGCCGCCCAGCCAGATAGGCGGGGTATAAATAATAAAATTATTATCATTATCATTATTATTATTGATTTGTTGGTGCCCTCTCATTCCCTGACTGTCCCAAGGAGTCTCCTGTTCTTCAGAGTGTCTCGCTTTATGGAATTCAGGAAGGATAATTGTGATTAAAAACAGCCCCTTTCTCTTTTGAGTTTTGTTGGGTGAAAGAGTTTTCTCTTGCTTTGCAACAGATTCTGATGCTGCGTTTTAGAGGATGAACGGCTGATAATGCCTTCTCATAAAATTAGAAACCACACCCCCAGATCATCTGCCATCATGTTAAGAATAATCAGCATTCAGCAACACAGCGCTTTAATCAATCTTTCTGACTTTTTTTATTGCAAAAAGGCCAGATTGTTCTTTTACGGTCTGGTCTTGTAAAACAATGGAAACTCTCGTTGGAGTTTTAACAGGAAGATTTGGGTTTTGGGCAGACCCGGGTGGTGAGTTAGCTACTGTCTGATCCAGCAGAGCATTATGTGGGTAGTGTTCCGTTTGCTTAGAATGATTATTGTTTACCATTTTTTCAGGGTTCTGTTCCTCACTGTAGCTTCTGGTTAACCACTGTGTGAAACAGGATGCTGGATTTCTTGGGCATTTAGTCTGATTCAGCAGAGGTTTTTTTCTTACCATCTGAAATCCCGTCATGTCTAGGGAATTAAGAGTTCAAATTCAACAAGTGTTCCTCCCAACTTCTGAGCATGTTGCTGCCTGATGGTGGATTGCTCTTTACCACCTCCTTTCTGTGACATAAGAGCAGCTAAGCCAATGGCAGCTGCCCAGGCTCACTGTGACATAAGAGCTGATTAGCCAATCACATCATCGAGAGAGGCAGGGCGATAAGAGAACTAAGAGGTCAAGGAGGAATTTGGCAGAGTGAAGAGGTGAGAAGTGGAGGTGCGGAGGGGGCAGCTGGAGAAAGTAAATATATCTCCTTACAGTAAGCTGTCGCATATGGTGACTGCAACCTGGGCATTCACAAAAGCAATGGACAGAGGAAGAGAAGGCAAGAAAGTTGTGAAGAAAGTAGCATTACAGAATCACTTCTTGATGCGTTACAGCTTTCCAGAGTGCTGATTGATAAGAACAACTTGTTGCGCAGGATTCATCTGCATTTCAGGAGCAGGCAAACTCTTCAGCTCTGATGGCCACTATGAATCCTTGCCAACTCTCATTACTCATTCAAACTGTACTGCCTTTCGTGTGTGACCATTGCAAGGCTGCGTACAGAAATTACATTACAGCTTCCTTGCAGGATAGCAAGTAGAATCAAATAAGTAGCAAGAAATTAATGTAATGGCTCTACCAGTGTGGTGTAGTGGTTCAGAGCGGTAGACTCGTAATCTGGGGAACCGGGTTCGCGTGTCTGCTCCTCCACATGCAGCTGCTGGATGACCTTGGGCTAGTCACACTTCTCTGAAGTCTCTTAGCCTCACTCACCTCACAGGGTGTTTGTTGTGGGGGAGGAAGGGAAAGGAGATTGTTAGCCGCTTTGAGACTCCTTAGGGTAGTGATAAAGCAGGATATCAAATCCAAAGTCTTCTTCTTCTTGTACACATCTGGGACTCTTGTTGCCAGACAGCAACCAGAGGACCTACTTTATTGATCAATGCGGTGCACAAAGTGATGTACAGATTATGGACTTGTTTACGTCCATTGTGTGGGCTAATTCTTCAAAGAAATAATTGAGAATGACTTCAAAAGAAGAATATGAAAATGTCATGAATTGGGCCGTCTTTCTTGCCGCCTCCTTGTTTTTCACTAGCTCCTTTTGCTTTTCCTGCATTGCAGAGAGTTGGACTAGATGGCTTGTCAGGGTCCCTTCCCTCAGATATTTCTCTGTTGTCACCTGAAGGCCACCAGCCTTGTGTGAAGGGATATTTGCAAGATAAAGGCAGAGCTATTGCACTGCAAATGTTCCATGGGTACTTGCAGGCATGTGTGGTGGTTCTGTATGGTCTACTTTTCATGTGGGCTGTTAGTAAAAAACACACCTCTCGCCCACAAAAACAAAGATTGCATGCTATTACTATGACCTTTTAATCTTCAAAAAGTGTGCCTACTGTTCAGAGGTTAGCGGACAGTATTCCCAAGCTTCCCTCAGTCGGGCACAATCCTGATCTGACCCTGAAGCTACAGCAGCACCCTCCCCTTTGGTAGAGTAGTTTCTGCTGTTTCTGCTAACGTTGTTTATTTATTTAATTAAAAGAAAGGGAAGAAAAAAGATTCTTCAAGGTGACTTATGGAGGCAGTCCAGAATTCCATCCTCCTGGCTGTTTGCCGCCACCGGAGATGTAAAAACACAATTAATCGGTTTGCTTGGCATTCTCAGTAGTTCACTATTTTCTGGAAAAAGAAACAGTTGTTTTAAAAATAATGACAACTTGATTGTGCTCTGATGGTGGAGGCTTAACCCTCTCCAACGAAAACAGAAACCCAACCCAATATTGGCTGCTTTCCTAGGGGGCACTCTGTACATGGCTTGTGGAAATAATAATAATAATAATAGGTTTTTGGAAACAAAGTTTGCAATTCTAATTTGGAACCTGGGGTTCCTGGAGCCCAGCTGCATGATTCTTGCTCTCACAAGAGATTTGCATGTGCAGCATGTGTGTGTGTGTTGATAGATGGAGCCCCCCCCCCCCCCCGGAGAAGTTTGAAGCATTTTCTGTTCTGCCCTCTGACTTAAGCTTGTTCATTCTTCATTGCTACTCTTGGGCATCTTGCTCACCCACAAAAATCAAAGAGTGTGCCTAATATTTTGGAAATCTAATCCATTGCAATCCTTTGCTGATTTAAACCTGAGTAGAGGGGTAGCAGAGCAGGTAATTCCTCAAAGAGGTAATGTGTAAGAATGGTATGATAGCATCTTCTCGTGAGCCACCTGGAAACTGTCAGTTTTTAGAGCAAACCTCTGTATTTTTACTCCCTGCCTCCAGGCATAGTTATAAATGCTTACATGCTATCATGGTATTCTTTCTGGTTAAGTCATTGACTGAATAACGCTAGATAGATGCAGCATACTTTTGCTATTGTGATATTATTATTATTAGATTATAGGTTCGATGTAATGGATCACTGAGTTAGGGGCGAGTTGGGTGCATTTCTTTAAAAATCTACAACGCCAACTCAGAGCGACATTCGTTTAAAACAGACTGCTCTTACCCAAGGCTTTGTTGAGGGTATTTGTGGGAAATCAACTGGGCTCTGTTTGGCTGAATTCTTTGAAGGCAAAAGTCAAGAATTTCATAACATGAGCATGGCATCAAAGGACCCTCGCTTTTGCACACAAATCCTCCACCTTGCAAGCCTTCCAGTTGTTTGCTTTGACTAGGTACAGCAGCTATTGTCTCTTGTCTGCTGAATTTCTGCCTAAATAATGAAGCTTCCTTGGCAGCTGGGTTGCTTCCAGATGTTAGCAGTACCCCTTACACTGCAGCGGTTCTCAACCTGTGGATCCCCAGATGTTGTTGGACTACAACTCCCATCATCCCTGAGCTCCGGCCTTGCTAGTTAGGGATGATGGGAGTTGCAGTCCAACAACATCTGGGGACCCACAGGTTGAGAAAGGCTCCTTACAGTATTGCTGTTTGGCTTCAAGCAGAATGGCAACTGCTTCCAGAGCTCTGGAATCCAATTGACACTGTATGAGAGCCCGCTTTTCCCGGGCACAATTTTCTTTTTCTTACCAAGGTTCCTGTTATGAACCATGCTCAGCTTCGAGGGGGATTCTGGTATCAAGGGGGATTCAGTCCAAAGCAAGCAGCAATATGTCTGCCTAATGGATTTACTAAGGGGATACACAACCTGCATTTGTCCCACATCTTTAAAGCAACATGATACTGCTTTAAATACACATGACCTGGCTTCCTCCAAAGGATTCTGGGAGCTGTAATTTAAGTGTTAAGTTTGTTAGGAGACCCCAATTCCACAGAACTACAATTCCCAGAGTTCCTGTGGAGAGGGATTGTTTGGAAACTGTAGTTCTGGGCGGGGAATAGGCATCTGCTAACAACCCTCAGCTCCCTAAAACAACAGCATACATTTGTTGACCAAGAAAATGATGAGGGACTGAACTAGTTGGGTTGTTTCTGACCATTTGTGTTTGGGGCTATGCCCACTGCCCCTGTTGTAAGCCTAGAGGCCTAGTTATAAAGGCTAGGCCTAAATACAGGCCTCAAGTATTGCTATTACTCTTAGTAATAAATTTATTGCCTGCCTTTCACCAGCAGGTCCCGGGGTGGTTTACAACAGTTTAAAGTCCAGTACAGTGGTACCTCAGGTTAAGTACTTAATTCGTTCCTGAGGTCCGTTCTTAACCTGAAACTGTTCTTAACCTGAGATACCACTTTAGCTAATGGGGCCTCCTGCTGCTGCCGCACAATTTCTGTTCTCATCCTGAGGCAAAGTTCTTAACCCGAGATAATATTTCTGGGTTAGCAGAGTCTGTAACCTGAAGCGTATGTAACCCGAGGTACCACTGTATTCAAAAAGTTAAAACGGATTACAGGCACAGGAATAGGCTGGGTTCTCAAAACACACATGTCATATGTCAAAGAACCAGGGTAAAGAGGTGTGTTTTCAGTATTCGCCAAAATTTGTATGGTGAAGATGCCAGATGCAAAATCAAGAGAATTAGGTGCGTGTGAGGGGCTCAGATCAAGGCTGTGGGTATCACTTGGCAATATTTTGCCACGTGTTAAGACCCTAGCTGCCTGGCAGGCCTACCACTAATGCCTGCCCTACAGCTCCTCCTAAACTTTTTTTTTTAAATCAATGACAGGAGACTAGGTCTAGCTGCCATTATAATCCCCCACAGCAGCACTTCGTTATGGCATCTTCCTAATGGGAGTTTCTCTGAACCACTTTTGTATCTGAGGAGTGAAGATACAGTTTCGTTGCCCATGAAAATATACACACTCGTGACACATTGAGTGTAAACGTTTATTTAGTGTCTGTTTTGAACGCTGCACTTAAAACGTTTTTTGGATTAGTCATCAGCCTTCGCGGATGTGGATGACCTGGTTAGCTTTGGAGAATATGAAGGAGTTGTCTTGTAGTGAGATGTAGGAATCTGGGGTATATTGAAAGCCTTTGATCTGCCCAGCTCAGTAAAACTGGCAGTAGCATACCCTCCAACATTTCTCCAATGAAAATAGGGATGCCCTATTCAATAATAATAATAATAATACCCCACCCATCTGACTTGATTGCCCAAGTCACTCTGAGCAGTTTCATAATAAAACATTTTTAATTAAAAAAACCCACTTTATATGTCTTCTAAAGGTTGTATAGTTACTTATCTCCTTGGCTCAGGGGTCGCACAAGCTTGCCAGGATTTTGGGCAGCTGCCCTTCCCAGCCCTACCTAGAGATTCTGGGGCTCAAACCTGAGATTTCCCACCCTCTCTTGCCCTCCCTGAGCCAAACTATTGGTCTGTGTGGTCCAATACAGTTCACTCTGAAGTTGCAAAAGTGCAAGATGATGCGTTTGACTTGTTCTGTTAAAAAAAAAAAAATTGCAGGCAGAGATTTCCCCCCGTAGCTCTCCTGTTTATGGGAGATCCTGCAGGAGGTTATAATACAAAACTCATTGAATAGAATCCGTCCATGAAGCTGCTAGTGAAAGATTTTGGGAATCAATAGAAGAATAACCTGTTCTACAGTTGCTCCCCGTTTGTGGAACTGTGGTTTAGCTGTGTTGTGTCTGGACCTGGCAGATGATGAAAGCAGTAAGTGGGGGAACTGTGGCCCTCCGTAGATTATTTGACTCTCAAACTCCTATTAGCCCTAGCTAGCAAGGCCAGCAGTCAGGGGCGATGGGAATTGTAGTCCAACAGTGTTTGTAGAGCCACAGGTTCCCCATCCTTGCATTTGTTAGATGGCCCCTGTCATCCTTGCTATCTGGCCACCCTAGAGAGAGAAGGAGAAGGTTGGTACAAAACAATGGGTCCTGTTTTTCCTGGTTGGAGTTAACAGTGGGTCTTTTGTCTGCCTTTTGTGGCCCTTAGCCCTGTGCATTGTCATAATTCGAATGCCTCTTGTTGACTTGTCATACAGCCAGTCTGTCTCATTTTCCTGTGTCAAATTGCCGCAGAGAGAAATAGAGAGGTAATGATGGCGCACTTCGCAAATTGACCTGTTTATTCAACGGGAGGCCTGCTCCCTGGGCCCTTTCCATTAGACTGAGGAGCAATTTCTCATTGGCACTGTATCCGAGAAAGCCTCTTCATCTATTTATGTATTAGCGAGTCAATGACATGATGGAGGAGCAACAAAAACAACAACAACCCCAGCCTGGCAGAAGAAGAAAGCAAAACGAAAAACAAATTTAGCTACATTAATGGACAAAGTAGGACAAATTGCTTGAGATGTGAGATCTTTCATAACAAAAATGTCAGTAAAGCAAAGAATGAGAGATGAAAAAGAAAACTTGTTTTGTTAGCTAGCTGCTGGGGAAAATCCATTAAAAAAAGAAAAGAAAGGCAATTGATTATTTATATATTATATCTGTGAGCCACCTCATAAAATAAATTCTCTAGGTGTTGTACTATATATATATTAGTTATATTATATATATGTATATATATGTGTGTGTGTGTATATATATATATATAGTATAAAACCACATTACAGTGGTACCTCTGGTTACGTACTTAATTCGTTCCGGAGGTCCGTTCTTAACCTGAAACTGTTCTTAACCTGAAGCAAAACTTTAGCTAATGGGGCCTCCCGCTGCCGCCGCGCCGCCGGAGCACGATTTCTGTTCTCATCCTGAAGCAAAGTTCTTAACCCGAGGTACTATTTCTGGGTTAGCAGAGTCTGTACCCTGAAGCGTATGTAACCTGAAGTGTATGTAACCCGAGGTACCACTGTATAATGAAGCCACAATAAGATTAACATGCTACCAACATAATACTCCAAATACAAAACCATCAAATTGAAAATATTATTTGCAGCCCAGAACTAAAACAGTCATAAAATACAAGCTTTAAAACCACCTTAAAAGGCCATGGAGAACTTAAAAGTCTCAATCTGGTGCCCAAAAGGCAGCAGTTTGGGTACCAGGTGGGATTCTCTAAGAAAAGCATCCCATAGCCAGGAGGTCCCACTTCTCTGCTTTCTCCCAAGATGTACCAGGAGATCCACTCTAGGAAGATTCTGGCACAGTATTGCCTACACTGAGTGGCCTCAGTTCTCCTATATGTGTTCTACTCACAGGTAAGTTCAATAGGCTTCACCTCCCTGATAAGTGTGTTTAGGATTGCAGCTGTTAAAAAATGGTTGATTTACTTTAGAAAAAATAGTAAAGTCACGTGCTTCATCAGGTAGCAGCGGATTAGAAAAGACTCATAATTTTTAAAAATGCAAATATTTATAAAAAATGGCAGATGGGAAGCATCATATTGGAAGATGCATTTACTTTTAAGACAGAATTTCTCCTTTAAGGTGTTTGCTACTCATCTGCAGAGGGCTAGCCTTCAAGTACGTTCTGAGGCAATGCACATTTAAGTGAAATCGCGTATATTGGGAACACCATTGGAACAAACCTTCAAACGCCTCAATAACTCCCTCCAAACTTCTTCGCTCAAACTCCAACTCTCTACAAGCCTCAAAGGTTGGTGCAAGGGCTCCTGGGATTGCACTTGCAAAAGCTTGTGAAATTGCTAGATGCTGTTTCTGTGCCATTTTTGCCGTTTTCAAGTTCTTTTAGGGCTGTTTTTGCCCCTTCTCATGCCACTTCCGGGTTTGCGGCGACATGTCCGTTCGCAGTTGCACATGCCCAGAATGTGTGCAAATGAGGAGTTGCCTGTATTTGATACACGCTTCTAAGAACCCGAATTCCCTCTTGCAAGAATTTGAAGTATTTCTCTCATTCTAAACCCAGTTCCTACTATATTAACGTTCCCTGCTTGGATTCGCCTGACTGAAAGCTGACTCGCTAGACATCTTTCCTGCTTATTCCTCCCAAAACTGAAATTCTCCACCCCACCCCCTGTCCCTTTCAAAGCTTTGATAAGAACAGTGCATGCATGGGCTATTCGTTGGTTGTTTGGGCGCGATGATGCAGAGATGACTTAGCTTAGATGCTGCAAGAAGAAGAAGAAGAAGAAGAGTTTGGATTTGATATCCCGCCTTTCACTCCCCTTCAGGAGTCTCAAAGCGGCTAACATTCTCCTTTCCCTTCCTCCCCCACAACAAACACCCTATGAGGTGAGTGGGGCTGAGAGACTTCAGAGAAGTGTGACTAGCCCAAGGTCACCCAGCAGCTGCATGTGAAGGAGCGGGGAATCGAACCCGGTTCCCCAGATTACGAGACTACCGCTCTTAACCACTACACCACACTGGCAAGGGGTATTCTGCATCAGAAAGGAATGCTGTGTGAGTAACATAAAGAAGGGGGTTTGGAAGCTGACATGACTCTACTGGGGGCAGGGATCTGAAGTTATGAGGAGTGTGAGCCTGAACCCTCCCCACAAGTCCGACCTGTGTGTGAGAGAGATTTTGTTTTAATGTGGGAATGAAGAGGTTCAGCAGCCCAGCAAATAAGATGACATGTAGCTAATCCACAAACATGTTTATTTAATGCAGGTGGATAGTCAAGTGATCATAGGGACATAGAAAGTTGCTTTATAATGATACAGACCCTTGGTCCCTCTAGCTCTCAGCCAGTGTTCAAAACTCCCCTTTCATTAGGGCAAGCAATTTCTTGGCTGTTGAAAGTTCCAGGATACTGCTTTAAATGTGTGGTGCCGATGGGGCCAGAGTTGAACTCTTAAAAGCTCATTTTGTCAACCTTCTGACGGTGTAGGAAATCCTGTACTATAGCATCCTGGAGAGGTAGCAACTCAGCCTCAGGTTAAATCCTCTATTGTGGGAGAGTCCACCAGCTTTCAGCGCAGTCTTTCCTACTGTTGAACAGCTGTTGCTGTTGAGAAGGTCTTCCTAATATTAGATCAAAATCCTCCCTATTGTAGTTTGAACTCATTTGTTTGGGTCCCACAGAAAGCAAATCTGCTGAATCTGTGAGAGCCCTTCAAATGCCATATTTGTTTGAACTGTAAAAGGGCAAAAATGAAAATCTTTTAGTGTTTATTCCGGAATGTAAAGTTGGTTGCAAACTGGGTGGCGCAACACAGCTCTCATGTTTGCAGACCTGACTCCAAAATGATTATTCATGATGTTATGGTTGTAATCTCAGGAGCACACTATAAACCTTTATTGATTTTAGCCAGGCTCACTCCAGGCTTCAGCTGCTGAAAGGAATAAAACGACTGTCAAAGGCGCTTGCTGTCTGCATCCATGCGTTTCTGCTCATATAAATGACATCTCTGTTTTCATTTTTCTTACGAACAGCATCAACAAAAGATTGAGAGCATATTGGAATTTCGGTGGAATTTCATTTGCTGCGGCAAAGTTGGAGACACCCCGGTCTACTGCTGAGTCAAATGTTTCTTTTGTCAAGGTGGCAGTAGTTGGGATCTTTCTCTAGTGCAATGGGCAGGCGTCTCTGTGACCCCACCCCGGTGTTGTACTTCATTAGCTGCAGCCAACATGGCCGGTGGTCAGGGTGATGGGAGTTGTTGTGCAACAACATCCGCAGGGCATAGCTTCTTGCTGTGGAGTAGCAACGGTGCCTTGCCCATGGGCTTCCTTGGAGGCATCTTACTGGCCATTGTGGGGGAACAGGATGCTGAACTAGGTGGACCTCTGGTCTTCGGTCTTAAGTCTATGATGGCCCATTTTGTTCATGTCATCAGTTGATGTTGGAGTGATGTTGGAGTACTATATACACTTCTTAGAGTATAAGCCCATTGAAGACAGCATGAGTTACATTGGAGTAACCCAAATGCTGTGGTCTAAACCACTGAGCTTCTTGGGCTTGCCGATCAGAAGGTTGGCGGTTCGAATCCCCACGACCGTGTGAGCTCCCGTCGCTCTGTCCCAGCTCCTGCCAACCTAGCAGTTCGAAAGCACGCCAGTGCAAGTAGATAAATAGGTACTACTGCAGTGGGAAGGTAAACAGCGTTTCCATGTGTTTTTGTTTCCATCATGGTGTTCCATTGCGCCAGAAGCGGTTTAGTCCTGCTGGCCGCATGACCCGGAAAGCTGTCTGTGGACAAATGCCGGCTCCCTCTGCCTGAAAGCGATATGAGCACCACAACCTCATAGTCGTCTTTGACTGGACTTAACCATCCAGGGGTCCTTTACCTTTTACCTTTATTACACCACAAGTCTATGTTAATATCTCCTGAGTTCTACCTTAAAGAGTACACCCATTAACATAAATCGGACTTTAAGTAAGACCAGATTTGAATCCAATCCTGCCCCGTTCTTTGTTTACTATCCAACCTGAATAAGAGTTTCCCCTCTCTCCAAATACCTTAATTCAGATGTTCAAAAACCGCAAATAAGGAATAAAGCAAAATACAGATAACAAACAAAGCAGGTGTTAGCAGTGGTACCTTCCAATTTTAGATACGTGCATCATGGAGTCTACAGTTTTTAACCCAGCAAAGTCTTGTCATAAAGAACTGTGGGTTGATGGTGCTGCTGTTGGAACATCCTGCCTTATTAGCATAAGATGTAAAGCAAAACCAGTCCAGTCCAAAGCCTCCATCTCATAAAATATCTGGGCGATGTACCACAATATGTATGCATTTAAACATAAAGCACCGCTAAAAACAGCACAAGATCGTCATTAAGATCGCTGGCTAGTTAGCAAAAACGTTCTTCCAAGAGATTCTTGGAAAGTGAGGATGCCTGCTGCACCTCTGCAGGAAAAGCATTCGACAGCATGGAGTTAGTGATGCTAGATGCCTGACTTCCGGTGGAGGTTGGCTGGACCTCTTGTATCATGGGGGACAACTTGTAGGACTCAATCTGCATAATCTTGGGGATTGAGCTGGGATTTTAGGATTGGGATATTGTATGTAGGAAACATTTAGAACCTATGGATGATACGCATTTTGACCTTTATTTGTTCCAGTTTAAAATACGGAGGTTGTTAAAATACAATGAGATTCAAGAATCAGGTTGTTCATGTGGGGTTTTTTTTTTTAACAGATTGTTTTAAAGTTTATTTTTAAAACCCTAAGTAAGAAAGGTTCATATGCTGAGCTAGGATCTTATGTGAGAAAAATCAATGCATCTTTCTTTTTAGAATGATTGAGTATGCTGAGGCAAAGAAAGTAGCCACAAGTCCGGAGGAGAGAAAAAAACCCATGTTACAGTGGATCATTAAAGGCTATTTAAGATCAAAACCACTTTCTAGTCCCATTTACTTCAAAGGAGACTCCAGAACTGTAATTTAAAAACCACTGGGCTAGATTCCCAACTGAACATTAGTTGCTGGATCAGGCCCAAAGGCCCATCTTGCTCTGAGTTCTGGGGTTTGGGGAGAAAGTAAGAGTGAAGGCCAAGTGAGGATTGCATCATGTATTACTTTTGAAACTCAAAAATTTAATTCTGCATATGAAACACATGCAGATGATATAATTAACAGTGTGTGGATAACTATTAATTAGGGCTGTGAGTGTTAATCACTAGACAAGTTCATGGACGTTCTAGTTAGTTAACTGATAGGACCCAATTGTAATTGGTGGGGCTGAAGATAAGAGCATTTGATTCTTTTTGAGGCTGGCTTGATACGGATTGTAAGCTCATTGGGGCAGCGCCTGGTTTTTTTGTTTTGTTTTGGCTGTTCTTCTCCATTGTGCCATGCCTATTGAAGTTACTGTGTAGTAATACCACAGCTGGAATACCACAGCTGGAATACTGCGTCCAGTTCTGGGCACCACAATTTAAGAAGGAGATTGGCAAGCAGGAACGTGTGCAGAGGAGGGCGACCAAGATGATCAAGAGTCTGGAAACCAAACGGTTGAGGGAATTGGGGATGTTTAGCCCGAAGAAAAGAGGATGGAGAGGAGATACGATAGCTATCTTCAAATATCTAAAGGGCTGTCACATGGAAGAGGGAACAAGCTTGTTTTCACCTGCTCTAGCGAATAGGACCTAAACCAATGGATTCAAGTTAAAAGACAGGAGATTGTGGCTAAACATCAGGAAGAACTTTCTCCCAGTAAGTGCTGTTTGACCATGGAATGGTCTCCCTCGGAAGGTGGTAGACTCTCCTTCCTTGGAGGTTTTTAAAGCAGAGGTTGGATGGACATCTGTCATGTACAATCTAGTTGAGATTCTTGCATTGCAGGGAGTTGGACTAGATGATCTACAATTTTATGATTCCGTGAAATGTTAAAAATGACCCTCTGAGAAGGTGTTTATTATTAAGCTGTATGTTTAAGTCATGTTTCCTTTAGCATCTCAAAAAAGGCGTTTATTTATGTTGACTTAGTTTAAAACCAGTAACCCTTTTTATAAATCTGTTGTTTTAAGTTGCTCCTGTAAGACATTGTAAATTCAAATCCACACCCTGCTAGCTTTTGAAGTGCTTTAACTTTTATTGTTTTGATACTGCTTGCAACCACCACCACGAATTCAAGGGTTTTTTGCTCCTCTCCTGGTCAAGTACACACCAAACAAACAGGTGTGATGGCACATATTTTTTCCCCTTCCATCTTTGAAATCCTACGTTGGAATCCAGTTCAGAGTCCAGCTCCCTCAGCCCCAGTTAATATAAAAAAATGTGTTCATCAAGCTTTGTACAGTCTAAATCTTATAACAGCAAAACAAATACAGGTCTCTTGCTACAGAAATGAGGAAAAGAAACAAAGATGGCATCACATTAGTTTATCGAATTGCTCCAGAAATCTACCTGTATGGCTACAGGTGAGGAATTTATAAACGTGAGAAATGGAGACCATGGTAAACACATCAGGTTTATGGGAGCTACATGAGGTCAGTGCTACCACACTGCTTTAAAAAAAAAGTTTAAATGCAGATGAGCAATCAATTAAAGCATACATTCAATTAGGTAAAGTCTTAAAATAATAAGACTTGCTCAGAAAAGGCGTATAAGTCATGGCTTACTAAGGACTGGAGGGGCAGTTAATTTTGCCTGCATGTTGACAGCAAAACCACAACTTGTTTTGAAACGAGAACGACAACACAATGATGCATTCCACCCCAGGAGAGTCACGTGGTTCGTTTTAAAGGTACTGCAGGCACCTGGCTTGCGTCTATTCATCTTACTGTACACCTGAGGCATGAAATGATTTCATGACCGCAGGCTCTGGTTGGGTGTGATTCCTCGAGAAAGTAAAAGGAAAGGGGTTGGTTTGTTTACCGAGCTGTTGGGTGTGAGCTCTGCTGTTAACATAAGTCAGACGCCAAACAGGGCATGACCTAATACAAAGGCCTTGTGAAATCTGCATGCAGATGGGTTAAAAGTAAGAAGGGCTGGAGGTGCAAAGTTTTAGGACAGCAAAAAGGTGGAGAAACAGGGAGATCATTACATGCTCTCTTAACCAGCAGAGTGTAATTGATTTTGTTTTCCTTTTTTCTCTTCATTTTCTTGACGGCCACCCACTTGGCAATTTTTAATGCTTGTTACCCATTCTCCTTTAATGTGTTTGCAGAAGCTCTGAAAGAAAAATAGGCCGTGGGAATGTAGTGTAGCTGCAGCCGACTCTCCTATCTGTTCATCACGAATAAAAATAAGGCAAGCAAACGTCCATCCACCTACTCAGAGGGGCAGGACAGGAAGATGTGGGTTTTTGTCTACCGGGAGATGGATGGAGGCTAAACACTGGAAGGAACTTGAGGGTTGTAAGAGCAGTTCAACAATGAAAGATGCTGCAGTAGGAGGTGTGGTGCAAGTCTACCTCTCTTTTAAAAGAGCTGCATTGGTTGTTCCAGGCCCATTTTAAGGCCCAGTTCAAATGCTCACATTAGTGTTTAAAGCCCCAAGTGACTTAGGCCCCAGATATTGGAAATAACACCTCCTTCCCTACAGACCCTCTTGGGTGTTAAGATCAGCAGAGGGGACTCTTGGTATTTCCACTGCCCTCAGAAATTTGCGTGTTGGCGGCCCAGAAGAGGCCATTCTCTGGCATCCTCTCAGTTATGAAATTCCCTCAGTACAGAGGTGGGTCTGGCACCTTCAAAGTACAGTTTTCGGTGAACGTTGTTTATCTTGGCCTCTGATAACTGAATTGTATATTTTTAGGACCCACCCTACTTTTGTGACCCGTTCCTTTTAATCTGTTTTCAGTGCTGAGTTTTACATTGTTGTCACCTGCCCTGGGGCCTGAGGGTGGGCAGTAAATTAAATGACTAATAACGGTAAGACCCTTTGGGTATCACAGTTGCCCTGCTTTAACTGAAACCTGAACTTCAAATGTCATGAAATGAGGTGGTAGAATCCTGAGGTATTCACACTGAATACATTTTTAAAAAAATGCTACTTCACATTATCCAAAAAACAAAACCACCCTTCAAGAAGCCAGCTAAGGAGAGATTTTCAATTTTAGTCTCAAATATCAACTGGTGTTCCAAATAATATGATTCTGAAGTAGCACAGCACATTCTGCTACCTGCTTCCCATCAAATTCTGCTGCACGTAGAGATCCAGCTTGAACATAACACCCTAGAGCATTTTGCATGCTGGCCTACAGCTGTGGTTCGCAGGTAAAGATCAGTAGTCATGGGTCTTTCAGGGAAGCTTATCTCCCCTGTTGAGTCAGAGGTCATAGTTCTGTGGTAGATAAACTGTTTTTCATTTCATGAGTCTCAATCCCCAGCCTCTCCAAACTGGGGAAGACCTGCTGGCTGAAATTTTGGAGAGCTCCTGCCTGTTAGTGTAGAGTAGACAGTAGTGAGATGGGCCTAAGGGTCTTACTCGGTGTAAGGCACCATCCTAGCCTATGTGTGTTACTAATGGGTGGATTTATATTTCAGAAGTGTGGGATCTGCCCCCTTTTCTGCATTAGTCCCAGCATTCCTGGGACAGGCTTAGGTGCAGTCTGAAACCTGCTTAAGGTAAAGGTAAAGGGACCCCTAACCATTAGGCCCAGTCGTGGCTGACACTGGGGTTGCAGCGCTCATCTTGCTTTATTGGCCTAGGGAGCCGGTGTACAACTTCCGGGTCATGTGGCCAGCATGACTAAGCTGCTTCTGGCGAACCACAGCAGCGCATGGAAATGCTGTTTACCTTCCCGCTGGAGCGGTACCTACCGTATTTTTCGCTCTATAAGACGCACCAGACCACAGGACGCACATAGTTTTTGGAGGAGGAAAACAAGAAGAAAAAAAATCTGAATCTCGGAAGCCAGAACAGCAAGAAGGATCGCTGCTCAGTGAAAGCAGCAGTCCCTCTTGCTGTTCTGGCTCCTGTGATAGCTGCGCAGCCTGCATTCACTCCATAAGACGCACACACATTTCCCCTTACTTTTTAGGAGGGAAAAAGTGAGTCTTATAGAGCAAAAAATACGGTACTTATCTACTTGCACTTTGACGTGCTTTCGAACTGCTAGGTTGGCAGGAGCAGGGACCGAGCAACAGGAGCTCACCCCTTTGCGGGGATTCGAACCGCCGACCTTCTGATCGGCAAGTCCTAGGCTCTGTGGTTTAACCCACAGCGCCACCCACGTCCCTTATATGTGTTACTAACAGGTGGATTTATATTTCAGAAGTGGGGGATCTGCCTCCTTTATCTGCATTAGTCCCAGCAGTCCTGGGACAGGCTTAGGTGCTTAGGTGCAGTCTGAAACCTGCTTTGTTGTTGTTTAGTCGTGTCCGACTCTTCGTGACCCCCATGGACCAGAGCATGCCAGGAACTCCTGTCTTCCACTGCCTCCCGCAGTTTGGTCAAACTCATGCTGGTAGCTTCGAGAACATTGTCCAACCATCTCATCCTCTGTCATCCCCTTCTCCTTGTGCCCTCCATCTTTCCCAACATCAGGGTCTTTTCCAGGGAGTCTTCTCTTCTCATGAGGTGGCCAAAGTATTGGAGCCTCAGCTTCAGGATCTGTCCTTCCAGTGAGCACTCAGGGCTGATTTCCTTCAGAATGGATAGGTTTGATCTTCTTGCAGTCCATGGGACTCTCAAGAGTCTCCTCCGAAACCTGCTTAGCAGCACCTAATAGAAAGAAATCTGTCTCCCCACCCTGTTCCCATCTTAATGTAAGACTGTGACTCTGTGGCTGCAGCACCCAGCCTGTCTTTTCCTCCCCTTCCTCTTGTTCAACATCCGGCCTGATGAAGAGTTCTGGAGAAATTTCAAGCCCGCTACCTGTTGTGGCATTTGGGTTGCTCCTAAAAGGTGTTGGCTGCCCATAGATTTTTAGATGCCCCTCCACACACGTGCCCACCCCCATCCTTGACCCAGCATGGCTTCTTTTGTCTTTTTGCTCAAGTTATTGTGTCCCTTTTCGTAGAATTGTAGAGCTGGACGGGGACCCTTTTAATATTGCTTTTCATGCAGAAAACTCCCAATTCTGCTGTCTCCAGATGGGGAAAAGTTCAGGTACCTGGTTTGGGGAAAGACCATGGAGAACTGCTGTCAGCTAGAGAATAAACTAAACCTAAACCGACTGTATCAGGAAGCAATTCTGCCCTCTGCAATTCTAATTACGTGCAAGTAATTTGGCACTGTGGGTTAAACCACAGAGCCTAGGACTTGCCGATCAGAAGGTCGGCGGTTCGAATCCCCGCTACGGGGTGAGCTCCCGTTGCTCGGTCCCTGCTCCTGCCAACCTAGCAGTTCGAAAGAACGTCAAAGTGCAAGTAGATAAATGGGTACCGCTCCAGCAGGAAGGTAAACGGCGTTTCCGTGCGCTGCTCTGGTTCGCCAGAAGCGGCTTAGTCATGCTGGCCACATGACCCGGAAGCTGTACGCCGGCTCCCTCGGCCAATAAAGAAAGATGAGTGCCGCAACCCCAGAGTCGGTCACGACTGGACCTAATGGTCAGGGGTCCCTTTATCTTTAATTTGTTGAGAGCTGGCAGGGTATAGCGGTTAGCTTGTTAGATTAGGACCTGGGAGACTAGGGCTCGAGTCCTCACTGAGTGACCTTGGGCCCGGTCACTGCCTCTCAGCCTAACCTACCTCACAGGGTTGTTGTTGAGATTAAATTAGGAGGGAGGGGAAGCGATGCATGCCACGTTGAGTTCCTTGGAGAAAAAGGTGGGGGAATGAATGAACAGAAAGATAATAAGAACAGCCCTCCTGGATCAGACCACCGGCCCCATCTAGTCATAGCATCCTGTTCTCACAGTCACCTTAGGCAACTGCCTTACGCCGAGTTACAACACTGGTCTATCTTCCTCAGTATCGACTACACTGGCTGGCAGAGGCTCTTAAGAACATTAGCAGATCCCACAGGATCAGGTCGGTGGTTTTTTTTGTTTGAATGCTGGTTTTAATGTCCGTCTGTGTTTATTTGTTTAAAATAATGGCAGGCTGCGTTGAGGTGCCGTGGCAAAAAAAAGCAACCATATAAGTAAATTATGCAGCTAGTAGCTTCATGGTTGAGCAGGGATTTGAACACAAGCTTATTCCAGCCCTAATCTTTCTCTCTAACCACATACCAGCTTTCTCAATTGTTCAGTAGTCCATCCAGATTCACACCCTTTGATCCCTTTAAATTATGCTTCAGTGCAACTGTGCTTTAATCCATACTATTTTTAGCTGCATTTTAATGATTTTTAGAAGGCTTTTTTTTTTGCTGTTGATGCTGTTTTATGTGGATATTTGTATCAGCCTTATTCGTATTTCATTATTCTGTTTCATAATAGATTTCTCTTCCTTTTTTTTTTTTTTGTGAACTTCCCAGAGGATACGTGTGGTTAATGGCCAGCATATAAAATGACAATAGTATTTTTTTTGTTCTCTCCATTGGCTCCTGCTTCACTTCTCTCTCTCTCTCTCTCTCTCTCTATATATATATATTTGCTGCATCATGCATGCTTCTTATTCTGGCTGCTTTATTGTTCCAGATATAAATGATCCCGTTATCATGTTATAAACATATCACGTGATGAGTCAGCCTTCCACCCACTTGAGGGTGATCAGGTGTTGAAAATGTTCAACATGATGAATCAGCTCCCCAAAATCACAAGATACGTTTGAGAAATTACAAGGGTTTGGTTTCCCCCGCAAGATACGTACATTCAGGCTTCTTGTTAGTTTCTCGTTTTACTTATGAACTGCTACCAAGTTGTCTCAACTTTCCCTATGAAACTTCTTTGCATCAAGATAATTGGATTTGAGCCCACAGCCAGTCTCAGCCAGTTGCATTCCCTGAGCATCGTCATGTTGAAATTCCCCATTTTGCTGCAAATGGCATTTTTGCAAACCACAACATTGATAATAAGAGCTCTAAATGCGCTGGCATCTTGCTAATTTCACTCCCATCTCTTTCCCCGCATTTTAGCTTTCGGTTGCCTGGCCAGTCTCCTCAACTGCTTCATTGTCTTCCGATAAGCAAAATGCCAAGTTTTCTATCTTTGCTTTTTCTCATGGCCCTTGAACCATGTGGTTGGATTATTTAAGGAACAGGACATGTCTGGATGCAGTCCCAGAGTCTGCAGTTGTTTCAGATGCCACTCTGAAAGGTTAAGGCTCCTCTGTAAAAGATTGGTTCTGCAACAGAGAGGCTGAAAAGGAAAACCCAACGAGTTTCTTCTTGTTCTCAAATTATTTGAGGGTTTTTTTTATATAAAAAAAGTCAGAAGAGTTTATAGTTTAGAGGCAGCATTGTTACTGCGCAGAGGGGGAGCTGCAATCATCAAATTTATGCTAGGTGCTGTGCAATGATAATTAAACATCACAAGGCATTGCCCTCCAGGCTTTCATTCTGAAAATCTGCCTGAATTAAAGCCCACCTTCTTATATATTTCTCACATTTATATCCTATTTTTTTCTTCTTCCAAGGAGCTGAAGGCCATGTAAATAGTTCTTCATCCTCCCAAGAATTCTCTGAGGTGGATTAGGCTGAGAGATCATAGTGGGACCGTGGTACTCCAATGAGCTTTATAAGGATTTGAAACCAGGTCTCAACTGTTCATGCTGTAACTATTATACCATACTGGCTTTCTAGTGTGTTCCCACCTCCTGTTCGACAACTGAGGTCCTGTCTTCTCCACTCCACCCACGATTGTATGCAATTTGCCCCCTCCCCGAAAAAGTGCTTTTCAGGGCTGTGATCTTGCACAGCGCCCCAAAATACGTATTTTTTTGTGCTGTGCGTGAAAAAGTACTTGTGAGGGGGGAACTGCGGTGTGAAGAGATCACAGCAACCAAAATGGCCTCTGTGCTCTTGTGATAAAAAAATGGGAAAATGGAGCCCTGGATTTGGGCTTCAGGGTGTTCGAGGGCATAGGATGCTTGCGTAAATAGGAGTTTTCTTCAGCAGCTGGTGGAATGCCAACGCTGATAGAGATGCTGTTGTTTCAGCGGAGAGGGCATTACACAACACTGGGGCCACTGATGAGAAAGCCCTGCTTCTGTGTTAACCACAAGCAGATGATAATAAGGCTGTGGCAAAACCACCTGGGTTGCATTAGCCAATCATATTGCACCTTAGCAGGCAGTGTAGAGCAGGGGTAGGCAACCTAAGGCCGGGGGCCGGATGCGGCCCAATCGCCTTCTCAATCCAGCCTGCAGACAGTCCGGGAATCAGGGTGTTTTTACATGAGTAGAATGTGTCCTTTTATTTAAAATGCGTTTCTGGGTTATTTGTGGGGCATAGAAATTTGTGCATACCCCCCCCCCCCATATAGTCTGGCCTACATGGTCTAAGGGGCGGTGGACTGGCCCACGGCTGGAAAAGGTTGCTGACCCCTGGAGTAGAGGAAGACTGTTTTTCAGGTACCCTACTCCAGAGTTACTTAAGGCTTTGTATGCAAGTAGCAGAATCTTAAAACTGGGATTGATGGCTAAGAGGCAGCCAGTGTTGATTCCAAATTGATTGCAAATATCCTCTTCTGTGCTTAACTGAATTGTGCTAAAAGTATCTGCTGTCCTGCAGTCCTTCATTGTATTCTTCTGAGCCTAGAAGGCTTAACAATTTGCTCAACACTGGAGGCTGAAATGTGGAACAACCTGAATGGTTCTACAGAACCATTTTTATTAAGCACAGCCTGTCAAAGACCAGCGTTGCAGTATCAAACACTGAGGCGTGCCTGGATTTCAGTTCAGTGATATGGACCAGTGGAAAGATGCATGGCTACTGAGAATTTTATCTGTTTGAACTGGGTTCAATAAGCTTTGGCTGGGATCCAAATTGCCCTCTATGATTGCTGAATATACTTCTGTGCATCTTGGAACTAATGAACACCACTCATGAGGGTGGTAGGACAAATGTGGGTGCGATCTCATTCATGGGAATGGAGAAAGTAATCATCTTGTGAGGATCAAATATATAGCCCACTTTCAAGGCTATATTGCAAGGAAACACACCAGTGGATTTTGGTGATTGTGTTTCATGCATCATAAAAATGTTGTTAGGTTTCAAACCTCAGAGCCCATTTACCGTATTTTTCGCTCTATAACACGCACCAGACCATAACACGCACGTAGTTTTTAGAGGAGGAAAACAAGAAAAAAAATACTCTAAATGAAATAGTGGATATATGATTTTTGTGGTTCATGCTGTGGCCACAGACATGTGATCTGACAGTGAGTTTGGAGTAGCCCAATGCAAAAATCCTGAGTATCCATGTGGATCCATGCTTTGTAACCACGGAGGAGGGAAGGAAGGGGAACCATGGATCCTCTGCTCACGACTGCAGCAGATCCCCCCGGCCACCCGCAGGCATTCGCTCCATAACACGCACAGACATTTCCCCTTACTTTCTAGGAGGAAAAAAGTGAGTGTTATGGTGCAAAAAATACGGTAGTTGTATATAAAAAGTCCTGGATGTGTAGAGTGAGTGAGTTGGTCACAAATATTGAAGCTCCTGAAACAAGAAGGGCGGCCCCACTCATTTCTAAAAGGGTGTTGCTGCCTCTGAAATCTGCCTCAAGTGACCCCGGATGTGTGTTGATAAGAGTTTGTTTGTTCAACACTCTCCTTGATAACTGTACATTGGATAAATGCACACTTCCGCACTGCTATTAACTGTTTGTTTTGGAGAGGGCCCATAACTCAGAGGTAGAACCACATGCTGTGCATGTAGAAGGTCCATAGTTTAAAATCTCATTGGCTGGAAAAGCAGGAACTTTCAAATGCATACACACCATATCCTTAACAAACTACATTGCCCAGAATTCTTGGGGGAGGATGTGCTTTAAAGGTATAGTGTCCCATCTTCATATATTTATGCACTTCCTCAGTTCCAGGAGTAGCATTGTGGGGTTAAGTTGTCTTTCGGATGAGAGGAAACCCTCAGGACTTAAAGTCGCTTTGGGGACAGATGTAGGGCAGATGAGAGGAAGCATTTCTTTGCCAAACACGTAGTTAAACTATGGAATTTGCTCCCACCAGTCACTGCCTTGGATGACTTTAAAAGTGGGTAAGTCGGGGACGCGGGTGGTGCTGTGGGTAAAACCTCAGCGCCTAGGAATTGCCGATCGCATGGTCGGCAGTTCGAATCCCCGCGGCGGGGTGAGCTCCCGTCGTTCGGTCCCAGCTCCTGCCCACCTAGCAGTTCGAAAGCACAATTAAGTGCAAGTAGATAAATAGGTACCACTTTCTAGCGGGAAGGTAAACGGCATTCCGTGTGCTGCTCTGGTGCCGGTTCGCCGGAGCAGCTATGTCACACTGGCCACGTGACCCGGAAGTATCTGCGGACGGCGCTGGCTCCCGGCCTCTAGAGTGAGATGAGCGCACAACCCTAGAGTCTGTCAAGACTGGCCCGTACGGGCAGGGGTACCTTTACCTTTACCAAGTCATGAAAGCACGCCAGTGCAAGTAGATAAATAGGTACTTCTGTGGCAGGGAAGGTAAACGGCATTTCCGTGGGCTCTGGTTTCCGTCACGGTGTCCTGTTGTGCCAGAAGCGGTTTAGTCATGCTGGGCACATGACCCGGAAAGCTGTCTGTGGACAAACGCCGGCTCCCTCAGCCTGCAAGCAAGATGAGCGCCACAATCCCATAGTCGCCTTTGACTGGACTTAACCGTCCAGGGATCCTTTACCTTTTTTACCTTTACCAATGGCCATTAGTCATTATGGTTACTAAACACGATGGCTTGTGTATTATTTCCCCAGGGTATCAGTTGCTGGGGGTCTACAATAGGAGAGTGCTGTTGCAGTCATGTTCTGCTTCACGGGATTCCCATGGGCATCTGGTTAGCCTCTGTGAGAACAGAATGTCAGGCTAGATGTAGATGAGCCTTCCCTATAAGAAAGACAGTCTTACCCATCTAATCTACATTAAAGAGACAAGAAAAAGATTCACACTCTTGTGTTTAAGGCAGTATTTCTGACTTGCCCTTCCAAAAGGAAGACCAGAGTGTTTTGTGCCGCTCACAGAACAATAAAAAATATGAATCTCATGTAAAACAGCGTAACATGCTGTAATCGTGCCACTAAGTTCCATAAAACCCAGCTTTTATGGAGAGTTGTATGCAAATACCTGTCTAAACAAGTACATTTTTAAACAAGTAAATTTGCAGGCTGGCATCTCTTGGGAGGGATTGCCACGAACACCCTGTTCTTCTGTGAAGTTTACCTTATGCTGCTGATGGAAGCAGGAACAAGGCCTAATCCGTAGGTTTTCATGGTCTCTGTGTGCTTTCATATGGAAGCTGGCATTTCCTACATTATGGACAGGTTGCATAAGAGCCTTGCAAATAAGCCTGCAAAAGTTAGTTGCCCATAAAAATGTTTATTAGCCAGCCTGTCTTAGCATATCTGTGGCACATCAGTGACCTAGTAGTCCAAAACATCTCCTTCATAGGCTTTTAAGCAGAGGTTGAATGGTCATCTTTTACTTTAGCTGATGCTTTAGCGGAGATTCCTGAATTGCAGGGCATTGGTTGTTGCCTTAAACCTAAATTTATTGTGACATAAATAAATGGGGTATCCTCAGGAGTGTAAAGTATTCTGATCAGTTGACTGGTATCAGTGATCACGAGTGTGCGTATGGGTGGTAGAGTAAATTGTGCAGGCGAAAGGCCGCACAATAACAGATAATAATAATTTTTATTTATACCCCACCCTCCCCAGCCAAGGCTGGGCTCAGGGCAGCTAACAAGCAATAATAAAAACAAGTTGAATGAATACAACTTAAAAACAAGATTAAAATACAACATTAAAATATTAAAATGCAGCCTCATCACAGGAGAAGAAAGGAAAAAGAAAAAAGAAAGGGGGGAGGGAATCAAACTGGCTCTTGTTCAGAGGGCCTTTTTGGTAGTGGCGCCCACCATGTAGAATGTCAAGGAAATAAACAACTATCTGACTTTTAGAAGACATCTGAAGGCAACCCTGTTTAGGGAAGTTTTTAATGTTTGACCGTGTTTTTAATATTCTGTTGGGAGCTGCCCAGAATGGCTGTGGAAACCCAGCCAGATGGGTGGGGTCTAAATAATAAATTATTCTTATTCTTGTTCATATGATTGCGACTGTGTGGAGAGGGAGAAGAAGTTGTGCTTCCTGGCCTCACCTTCTTTGTCCGTATATTCGGGGAAGTGTCTATATAAATTAGACCCTGTTGCATGTTCATAGGCTTACTCCATGATTTTCACTTTTCCCCCTGGGGGTGGTGGCTGTGAGAGCACATGAGAGCACTGACAGAGCCAGAAGATGCACCCTATCTACTATGCAGTTGCATAGAGGTGCACAGAATATCCCCAAACAGCTACAATCTCATACCCCACCCCCAACCTCCATGCAAAAACATGGGCAGGGGATAGAATGTTCTCTCTGTTGTGTATTTCTCTGTTAAACCGGCTCTTGGCGCCCGCTCGGTCAGTCCCTGCGTGGAGCTAAACCAACGTGGTGCACCGCTTTAGCTCTACGCAGGGACTGACTTCCGGGACGCAGCCACAGCTTCCTATTGGCTGCAGGAAGCTCTTGCAGCCAATAGGAAGCCACAGACACTGCCTTCTCCCCCGCCATGGCTCCGAAAGCCAGCGGAGAAAGATCGGCGGGCGTGTGCATGCTCACGCGCACAGGCGATTCAGCCCACCGGCGGAAAAGTATGCTGACCCCTGGTTTAGACCATCTTCTTCACAATTAGCTATTAGGTAGAAGCAAACCTACTCCCACCTTCCAGTGCTTTGTCGCATGAGTGCAAAACCGCTGGGGTATTTGACAACAACAACAACAACAAATTATACCCCACCCTTCCCGGTTCAAAAACCGGACTCAGGGCGGCTAACAACAAATTTAAAACACTTTAAAACACTTAATTATAAAAGCAACATAAAATGTGGTACCTCGGGTTACATACGCTTCAGGTTACAGACTCCGCTAACCCCGAAATAGTACCTCAGGTTAAGTACTTTGCTTCAGGATGAGAACAGAAATCGTGCTCCGGTGGCGCGGCAGCAGCAGGAGGCCCCATTAGCTAAAGTGTTGCTTCAGGTTAAGAACAGTTTCAGGTTAAGAACGGACCTCCAGAATGAATTAAGTACTTAACCCAAGGTACCACTGTATAAAAACATGAATAACAATAAAATTCAAAAATCAATTAGATAATCCCCAGGGCTAGCTGGCTGAATTGGTCCTACTTGGGCCAGCAAGGAGGCCAGGGGAGAATTAGCTGTGGGGTCTCAGAGTGGATCTTCATAAAAGGGGAGCAGGAGGGAACAGAAGGGAAATAAAAGATCAAGCTGAATGAAAGGCCAGGCGGAATAGCTCTGTCTTACAGGCCCGATGGAAGGAGGTTAAATCCTGCAGCGCCCTAGTCTCATGGGACAAGGAAAGCAAAGGAGTGATGCTCTGCTACGGTGAGCCAGTGCATAGGTTCCTGGAGAGCCCTTTGCAAATGCTTTGCTGCTCGCTGGTCTGCTAGGACTAAGGTTTGGCATTGCATGCTGTAGGAATCCAGGCTCGTGGTTTAGGTCTCTCCAGACTAACCGCAAGCTGAAAAACAGGAAATAGATAGGCACGGCAGCAAAGATGACCTGGGGAGGATCAAAGCAGCTGTAAGCACATTTCTGGAAGCTGGCGCATTTGCGCCAAGCCAAGGTTTGTCTTAGTGTGACATATGGCCCAGGCCTTTCGTTCCGTTGCTAGTGGAATGCTCGCCCCAGGGAGGCCTGCCTGGTGCCTTCCTTATAAACTTTTAGATGGCAGGTGAAAAGGTTCCTCTTCAATCAGGCCTTTGGCTGATCAATATCTTATTTTATTCAAAATGTGGTTGTGAGAAGGAGGGTTATTGCTTTGTTTTTATTCTGCATTTTGTGTTTTTATATTGTATTTTTATGCCGCGTACCTCCCTGAGATCTGTGGGTGAAGGATGGTATGCAAATTTAATAAATAATAGTAAAAATTATTATTATTAATAATAAGTGCTTCTTTTCAGTGTAGCACCTTTTCAGTGGTAGCCGGTTAAGATATGACTGTTTCATAGGGTACTTGAGCCCGCACAAAATTGCTTGCCCTGTGGTCTTGTTTATGTTTTCATGTTATCATTTTTGACTTTTATGTTTTAATTTTTATTGTTTTTAATGAAACTTGGCATACTACAGGTGAGTATGAATCCTTCTCGTAGCAAAACAGATACAGTGCCCAAAATTCAGCCATTCTAGAAAGAAAAAAAAAGATGATTCTGATTGGAGCTTGAGAATTTATTCATTATGGAAATAATCTCTGGCCTCCAGGCCTGAATTGCATCCTGAAGTTTTGTGGTTAGAGCAGTTAATTTTGCTTCCCTTAGTTTGGAATTTGACTCCCAAGTACTTTGCAAATAATCTGTTTCTTGCCTGTAGACATAAAATAGGTTTCCTGATATTTCTTGGAAAGGTATGTGTTAGATTTTTTTTTTTTTTTTACATAATGGCGTTTATTGCCGCTAAGCCACTTCCCGAACGGTAGAGCTGGAAGGGAGAGGTATAAATGATGTATATAAAACAAATAATTTCAAGGATGGTTTCCTAGAAAAGTGGTTCTTGTTTCTGGCATAGAATGGCTCTTTTAAAGTGGATGTGTGTAAGAGACTTAATGAAGGCTTAATCTAATGTTGGTTAATGTATTGCTCCTTTGTAATTGGAAAAATATATATTCAAATGAAGTAGGTTCTTTTATATAAATAAATAATAACCAAATAAATAATAACAAACAGGGCTGACTGTTTCGTTGTCTCGTTTTTAGGATATGATGATCCGTCAGAGACAAACTTGATACCGCACAGCATTCACTCTGTCAAACACGGGCAAGAAAATCGTCCCAGACCTATTCGCAGGAAAAGAAGTGTTGGTAAGGAATGGGAAAACCAAACCTATATTAAAAAAAAAAAAATGCCACGAGGTTGGGATGGAAGGACTGGTCCTGAAAAATGAGTCTTTTTTTAAGGGCAGAAAGAAAAATGACCTTATAAACCAGGCATAGGCAAACTTGGCCCTCCAGATGTTTTGGGACTACAATTCCCATCATCCCTGACCACTTGTCCTGTTAGCTAGGGATGATGGGAGTTGTAGTCCCAAAACATCTGGAGGGCCGAGTTTGCCCATGCCTGTTATAAACCCAAGGAGGACACCCCCCCATACACTTTTAAATTATTATTTTCTGCTCTTTTGCACAAGTCAGCCAACTTCTAGTGGGGTAGCTCATCCAGAAAATTATTTCTTTTGCTGCAGGATGCTCATGTGGAAATGCGAGTTAGGAAATGCAGTGCAGTGTCTGTTCCTTTCAGTCGTTTTCAGATTAGGCGCCAGCCACAGACTGGTGCAACCCTGAGATCACGTTGGGAAGAGTTAATTAAATAATGGAAAGCCTAAGGGCTAAGCTGATGCCCAACACAGCCTTCAACTTAACAAAATGTATCATACACAGCCTTTAACTTATCAAAATGTATCATACAAACTGCGGAGCTAGGAGGAAGTCGCTGCAATTTATTTTAAAATATTACATCAATCTTCACCCTAATAAAAACAGTACTGTTAATAGTAATGTTCTGGCAGAAGCAAGGGTGTTAGAATTAAATGGGTACTAATTGACCTTAAACAGCGGTGTTTTATGAACGTGCATTGTTACAACTGGTTCAGCAACCTGCTTGCTCCGAAGATACCCTCTGCCAGATCAAATATAATATCTGAAATATCGGAACAGAAGGCTGCTTTTAAAACAGAGCAGAATTGCTGTCTGGAGCCTGTTTTGCTATCAGGTAGACCTAGATTGCTACCTAGGACTGCCCACTGAAAGCTGCACTGCTTTTGCTTTTTATTTTTGCATTTATTGTTCCTTAGTCATTGTGGACTGTGTGCTGCTTGCTTATTTATTTATTTGAAATACCCCCCCCCTTTAAGCCAAAACGCAGAGCTTCATCACAGCTAGGCTGGTGTGTTATTTCAGGTGTGATCAGAAGGCAGAAATACGGTGACAATCATTTATATCTCACACAGGACAAGAAGAATAGACTCCCTACAGTCCCATGGTGGACTTTGGAGAGATCTCCTTGGTTAGAGGATATTCTTGCATGCTATTTGCACAGTGTGCCAATATATCTTTTCGTTCATGATGTCCTGAATGCCCTTATGGGTGAAGAATGCCAGGACATCCCAATATGCTTGCAAGGGTTCTTGTTTATTATATATTGCAAGAGCTGGGAGAGGGGTTCCCCTTAGCATTGCCACATGCAGACCGGGGGGTGCGGCACGCAGCTGGCAGGCTTGTTTCAGAGCAGAGGCCATCGCTTATCTGGGTACACCATTTCCCCCTCTGCAGAGGAAGCCATTCCTGCCGTCTGCAAAACGCGAACCGTTATATACGAGATACCTCGGAGTCAGATCGACCCGACGTCTGCTAACTTTCTGATATGGCCGCCGTGCGTGGAGGTGAAGCGTTGCACGGGCTGTTGCAACACCAGCAGTGTGAAATGCCAGCCGTCACGGATACACCACAGAAGCGTCAAGGTGAGGAGAAATGGAACTCGGGTGCAGCGGGGTGGGTGGGTGTTTTGAGGGAAGAGGTGGTTCAGCATTTTGTTCGCATCCTGTCGTTTTCATTTTTCTTGCCTTGGCAGCCATGGGAGGTTATTTGGTGGTTTCTGTTTTGATTTTGGTTATGTATTCTGTGATTTTATCCCGTGAACCCGCCCGCCCCCCCGAGACCTGCCTGTATGAGGCAGTATACAAATTGAATAATATTTTTTAAAAATCATCATCCCTCAGTGTGAGTTCCTACTGGTTCTCACTTGGTTACAACTTTGCTCAGCCTTTCTTATCCTGGGTACAGTCATACCTTGGTTCTTGAATGTAATCTGTTCCGGAAGAAAACGTTGGAAAACCAAGGTGTGGCTTCCGATTGGCTGCAGGAGCTTTCTGCACCCAAACGGAAGGCGCATTGGACGTTCAGCTTCCAAAAAACATTTGCAAACTGAAACACTCACTTCCGGGTTTGTGGTGTTCGGGAGCCAAAACGTTTGAGTACCAAGGCGTTCGAGAACCAAGGTGCGACTGTACTTGCAGCTGATTTCAGACTGCAAGTCTTATCACCCTTTGTTGGTATGGCCAGTAGTGGTACTAAATGACTGGATGACGCCTAAATTGGGGAAAGCTGCCTTTTAGTTAAACTTTTTTTTTCTGGAAGTGGTCTGCAAGCAGTGCTGATGGTAAACACTTTAAAGAATAGCTAAGTGAATTAGCTGTTGTGGTGATAAATGAGGACTCTCCCACATTTCCACTAGAGATTTGCTCTGATTCAGTGTTAAAAGAGTGGGATTTCCAGGGTAAAGTGGTGGAGCAAATGGGAAACCACTTAGAAACATGCCTAGAAAGTACGGAACAAGCAGAAAACCACTCAAACCCATGCTTCCTAGGACAAACAATGTGTGGACGAGCTCTGAGTGTAGTGACTTTCGGTGTGCAGTGCTTTTGTTTCACTCCCATTATAAGCAAGAGCTAACTGGCCCATTTAGCTGTTTACAACCTATGATGCTGCTTTATGCTGAGGGCTCATCCACATTTGAGTTAGGATAGCTTAGTCAGTAGAGCATCAGAATCTTAATCTGGATGGCCCTTGTGGTCCCTTCCAACAATTTGGTTTGTCCTGCCATTTCCCCCCAGGAAAATACACTGCTTACCGATGAATCAGAGCAGACATCAATTGGTTTTTCTGTCTGATGCACATTGGTTCCAATTCAGTGGCCAACAGTGGGTTTTCCTAGAGAAAGCAGTGGGAGAAACAAAAAAACCTTTTGGACCCAGTTTTCTAGACACAGGACAAGTGTCAGTGTAAACAAGCCCTTAGTCATCAGGCCATTTGTCTTTCTGGCTTGGTGGTTCTCCAGGTTTTCAGACAAGGCTCTCCCAGCTCTTCCTGAAGGTATTTTGCATTCAAACATTGTGTTCTACCCGAAATTACTACCTTTTAGAGAAACCCTGAAAATTAAAACATCCATGCTTATACTGCGAGTGTGGCCTGGAACACACGAAACAATCCTCCCCCTTTTGCAGGGAAGTATGTAAAGAATGAAGTGGCACAGATAAGGGGTGGTGTTTTGTTTAAAAAATAAAATAATTTTTTGTTTTGTTTTATCCCGCTCTGGGGTCAGTTATGACCCCAAATGTGTAGGAATGCTAAATAGCATTAACAAGCAAACAGGCCTGATTATGCCTTTCCCACAAACTCCCACAGCCTTGTTCTTGATTTTAAATGATAAAATGACTCAGGGGACATTTTGAATGTAAAAATCCTTGTACAGTCATGTTTCCTTAATTAAATATTATGTAGGCTAAATTGGGCTTTTATTTGTGGAAATACAGTGCTTTTGATCTGCTGGTGGGAGGGAAATGTGTTTCATATATTCTCATCTCCTGGGATTTGAGATTCCTTATGGCTTGATTCCACATTTACTCATTAGGCGAAATCCATTTTTTCTGCTTGCCACAATCTATCAAACAGACATTTTGGAAAAGGAGTGGTATTTGTTTGTTAGGTTGGGCTTGGTCCCCCTGTTAACTGTATGCGGGTTCAAATCAGCAGCACCCATTTGCCAATGCAACTGCGACACCCCCCCTTCCAACTTCACAATTCTATGATTCCATGAAAAGTAAAACGCATAAACAACAAATTCAGGAGACTCCTCCCAAGACCTGGGCAAATAGATAAAAGCTATGAAAAGAAAGTATTCATTCAAATATATTTTGAATACCGGTGTTGTTTAGTATGAAAGAGAATAGGAAGAGATTTGTATCAACTTTATTAATTTAATCTGCACATTTTACCAGTATCAGCACGTGTATAGTTAGTGCACCTCATTGGGTCAGCAACAAGGCAAGGGTCTTTGGGTTTATGAATGAGGAAAACTGGTCATTGATGGGAGCTATTATGTATATGTTTTGTGCAGACGTATAGCTGAAGAAGTGAATAATGTGAAATAGATAAGTACCGGCAATCTGTATTATATATCAGAGAAGCAAATTTCGTACAATAGTAAGTTCCTGTGAAAGAGTTTTATCAGTGGGGAAGGAAGTTTTTTAACACGAAAAACTCCAGTAAAAATATAAAGATAAAGTTTCGTTGGAGCAAATGTTATTGTAATAATTGATAAGATATTACCTGCCTGGGTTGTTTTCTTTTTTTTGCTGTGCAAATAGGTAGGCTTTTCAGCTGGCACTGATAACTCCTTTATTTAAAATTGGTGCCAAGATTTCAATATGATAGAGTGCACCTCCGCACAATAATGTTCCCTGTACATAGAAAGCCATTATGTCAGGAAGGCGACCAGGTTGATGTGTTTTCTCATTAGAAGTGTGGACTGCCTTATACGGAGTCACACCACTGGCCCATCTACAGGAGCATCTAAACCTCTGGCTAGCAGCAGCAGCTGTCCATGGTCCTGGGCACTTGCTCCCCGAGATCGTTTTTTTTAAGCTGGAGACATCTGTAATTGAACTTCCCTGGTTAATAGCTCATAAAATATAGCTATCTCACCTGCCCACACATACTTGGGTTTCCTTTCCTAATAGCCTGGAGATTGCTATCATCTGATTACTTTCTTTTATCTTCTGCTTGCTTTATTACATTTGTATAAGTTCTTTGGGCGATTTCCATTAAAAGAAACCCCCACCCAAATACAATTTGTGATAAAAACACCAAAACAAAGCAAATCTATCTATTAATACCATAACATTCAAATCAAAATGTATTTTAATTAATTGATTGCGATTATATGTAAACTGTGTTACTTTTACTGTTGTTAGCCGCTCTGAGCCCGGCTTCGGCTTGGGAGGGCGGGATATAAATAAAATATTATTATTATTATAATTGAAGTTCCAGATGAAGCAAGCAATCAGTTAAACATTAAAAAGTAACAATCCAAATTTGTTGTTGTTCATTCGTCGTATAAATACTTCAGTGGTCCTCTTAATAACCCTGTCCTAAATCTTCATTTCTCTCTGAAAGTCTAGGTGAAAAGATAGGTATTTACTCACCTTTGCTGAAGAGGCCATATGCATCTCCTGCAGGACAAAATTCCATAGGCTGGGGTGGGGGGGGTTGTACTCAGGAGACCCTGTCCTGTCCTATAACTGTTAAGTAAGTTAAGTAAGTGGAAGAACCTATAGAAGGGCTTCTGGCGAAGATTCGAAATACCTGGGCAGGTGTGTCTGGGAGAAAGCAACGCTACTTTGCAACTAAGGTAGCACAGCACCACATCGATCCAAATGCATCTTCCAACTCAGCAATTCTCTCTCACCCACTTGTGTTAATCTTAAATTGAAAACAAACCACTTTGGGAAAGGGCGCAGTGCAGTTTTGATATTCAGATGTTGTTGCCGCATGCACCCTTCATCAGGCTTCCCGGAACCAATTCTATTTTCAAGTGAGTCCTTAAATACATATATATAGCTCCTCAATACGCTTGGCAAACATTAATTTTAAAAGCAAAGGAGGATCGGAGACAAATCTAATTAACCTGCAGCCTCAAGAACAAACACAGCTGTTTAGCAAACATGAGCTGCCTGCTGCTGCAGTATTTATGGTGGATGGAGATTGCGTTGCTCCTTCTGATGCGGAGAGATGATTGGGGTCCTCAAAGGTAACTCTGCACTGCAGATAAGCCTGGAAGCGGTTTTGACTTGCCAGAGTTGACTGGTTAGCTCTGAGCATCATTTAACTTGGGCCTCCTTGAGGCATTTGGGGGCAGTTGCTTGGGGTGGGGGAGGCAGGAGGTGCTTGCTGAAGTTGCAGTGTGCCACGAAAATGCTTAGAGCAGGGGTCGCCAGCTAGGAGTCAGTGGGTGCCATGATGCTTGGGAAAGTTTCACTGGTGCCCTGGACTCTTGAGTTTTCTTTCTTTTCTTAAAAAGTAAGTCTCTAGCTGTCCTAGAAAGAAAGTTATGGGGTGAATTGTGCCGGTGCCTTCAAAGCAATTTCTGTGAAAGGAGAGTGTGTTGCAGCCACCTTGTATATTTTTCCAGGTACTGAGGAATGCTCCTCAGCTGTTGCTATTAAACAGCATCCATGTCTCTCTCTCTCTCTCTCTCTGTGTGTGTGTGTGTGTGTCAGTGCCAAATTTACATATAAGCTAAACAAGCTGTAGCTTAGGGCCCCACTCTCTTGGGGGCTGCAAAAACATTTAAAGGAAAAAAATTGGATGTACATTTCCAAAATATAAAATAAAAAACAAATAAAATAAAACCTACACACAGCAACAGTATTTTGTGTTATGTAGGCTCCTATGATGTAATTAGGTCCATAAATTACCATATAGCATATATTCAACACAAAAAACAGCAACAATTTGTTGTTGACAAAGGACAGCTGGACATATAAAGGGCCCTGTCACCTTCAGTAGCTTAGGGCCTCATCAAACCTAAATCCGGCCCTGTGTGTGTGTGTGTGTAGTCAATAAAGTGTGGTCTCCACAATCAGGACCAGCAGGGCAAAGCTCACTTCCCATGGTAAGGTTTGTGTTCTGCCACACCCATCAATTATTTTGCAGCTAATTTTTGACTGGCACCCGCAGCACGCTCTCAAAAATTGAAATGGGCCCATTGGGCCAAAAAGGTTGGTGTCCTCTGGGCTTGAGAACGGAAACGCAGGCGCTTGGAACCAGATCACTCAAGTGCTATAGCCAAGAATTTCCTGGGTCCTGGGAAATCATGTGGTTCTGGGAAGCAATAGCAGCTTTGCTTCGAAGCATCTTCCCGGTTAGTCATAGGTGAGCATTTGTTACCTGACGCATGGGTCAGCATTAATACACAACTTGCTCTGGGTCATGATGGCAGAGCATGAATTTCCCCAACAGTAGAAAAAGGGCAGAGGAACATGCAAAAAGATGGTCCTAAAAGATCTACATTGGCTCTTGGTATGTTTCCGAGCACAATTTAAAGTGTTGTTGCTGTCCTTTAAAACCCTAAATGGCTTCAGCCCTTTGTACCTGAAGGAGTGTCTGGAACCCACATCGTTCAGTCTGGACACTGATGTCCTGCTCTGGAAACACACCTTGGAAAAACCCTTTCAAAAACCATCAGCACTTACTAGACTTCCTCCAAACTCCAACCCTCCACAGACCTCAAAGGTTGGTGCAAAGGCTCGTGGGTTTGCAATGGAAAAGGCTCATGGGATTGCTTGAAGCTGTTTTCACACTGTTTGAGGGCCACTTTGGGGTTTGATTTATTTTGTGGCAGTGCGCATGTGCGTGGTCGCCCATGACTCGAACACACCGCACGGGGTGTTGCCTGTAAAATCTTTTAAAGCCCCCCTTTTATTTGTACAGTTCTTTGGATTTGAATCATCGCTGCTCTTGAGAAACTGGATAATTCTTATCTGCTGGTGTTAGCCGCTTAGATTAACAAGTGACATCACGTTGTGACCCATGCCCACTGTTTTTGAAACGTTGTGCTCCAGAGGTCTTGAGAAAATCCTCCCCCTTCAAAACGTTAATTAAAAACGAGGAGTCACTTTGGAGCAGTGTGTTCTTTGTAGAGGAGGGCTGCCTGACCCCCACCACACCACACCAGTAGTCTCCAAACAAGAAAATCCATATTTATTTCCTCCTGCGTCAGATGTACTCTCTTTCTCTCTTTGATATAATTAATTGTTTCTCAAGCTCTTGGGAATTCCCATGTTGCGGAGATGAATGGCTTGAGTGTATCATAATCCAGAAGATCCTCTTTGGGGGTCACACGGAAGGTGGCGAGGGCTGGAGGATGGGATATGTTTTGCTTATTCCCAGAACGGAGTTGAGAGGCTCCCTTGTTCTGCTTCCATGATGTCAAGCTTATGTAAAAGGCCCCCTTTTGGGGTTGACACTGAAAAAGACCTCCATTTCTCACCCGTGCTTTATTGACAAGATGGTGAGATCATCGCGCCTTCCCTAATAAGCCCCCTCTGACTGCAAGTTTATCCAGTTAGTGGAGAGGTCACTGTGTAGGATGCAAGGACAGCAGAGGCCAAGAGACTGACGAGAGCATCGGGAAGTCAAATGCACTGCCTGTCTTGAGCCAGGGACATGGTGCCATGGTGCTAGCCTCTCCTCCGTAGGCTGGTTGCTGGAGAATGCTGCCAAATGAGCAGGATCAACTGCCCTAGAAAGCTGGATTGTATTGCTCCAGTATCATAATATTCATCTCAGATGGTACATGCATGGTGAATGGGCCAGGTCACACAGCTGGAACTAGTGGAGGGGGGAGAATAGTTCTTTGCATTCCTTATTTAATGCCCCATTTGTGAATGCTTTAAAATTATTATTATTATTATTATTATTATTGCTGTCATGATGGCTCCATGTTGATGTGTCGCCGTTCCACTGGTGGTGATGTTCTGATTGGCCTTTTCTGTGTAGCAGTCAAAATCGCAGCTGTCCATTCCATACCTTGCTCTGTTCCAGTCCTTTTCCAATGTTAGCATCCAACAAAATCATTTTTTTAAGAGCAACTGTACCCTGCTTTTCACAAGACACCCACTGCCTACAGGCTTACAGTCTTCAGAAGAAGAAAAAGGAAAGCATGGCACGCAAGGGAAGAGGGACAGGGAGGGAAGAGGAAGATGAAAATCAAGCTCAGGCGCTGCTTTCTAAACAGTTGCTTCTATAAAGACCAGCTGGCACACATTCAGGGGCAGATGGGGCCTGATGGAGCTGGGCTCCCAGCAAAGCTGGTAAAAGCTGCTTCCTATCTCTCCCACTGAGGCAGTCTGATGCTCTCACAGCACAGCCGATAGAGTGAGTGGTAATAATTAAACATTTCTTTTTTAATCAACTATTCTTAAGGTTCATCACACCACATCAGGAAGCGCAATTAGCTTTAGCCAAATCGTATCTTGATTTCCTGGTTCCTTATATAGTCTGCCTGGTTGACTGCTGTTCTGGAGTGTTACCTTTTCTGGAGTATTAATCTGGTTTCATGCCGTTGCATTTTTTAAAAAGAAATATTTTAAAGGATTTTAGCCTAATCCTAAAAAGTCAGTCATGTTGATTCCCACCTTGACTTCCCATATTTCAGAATAATTCCAATGTCATGGAATTCTACTCAACATTGATCCAGAGGAGAACTCCAGTGTATAGTTAGCAGAATAAAAACTTAAACACGTTGCAGGATTCCCCCAAAATGGACCAGAGGCAATTGTGTTTCATCCAGCAGAGCCTTACTGCTACTGAAGGCAAATGGTCACAAATCCCATACAGTCAGGATTGGCACTGTCCATAAGAAATCCAGTTGCAGCAGACCTAACTTAAACTTACAATAAGTAAGTTTGAGCATGTCTCTGAACAAAAAAAAAGAGATTTGGTTACACACCAGCAACATTCAGTTTGCTTCCTGGACTTCTGCCACACCAAAGAATCGCCAAACTGAAACATCTAAATCATGTACTATCAATCTGCACCTTTACTCACACATTCCAACAATCTTCCCCTTCCCTCCCGTATTCGTACGGAGTCCAGTAGCCTTTAAATGTTAACTTCTACTGAATTAAGTGCATGGTGTAGCCGTTGCTGTGCCTTGTGTGAAGTGCAGTAGTATTGAACCCATCTTGGCATTAGGCTGCTGGTGACTAAACAAATGAATGCCTTCCATTTACCAAATTGCCCTTTTGTAATTTGATCTCCACATATCTTCTCTGTCCACCCGGACAGCCTTTCTCCCTTGTCATGTAGTTAAGAAGATGCTGTCTTCTGTTCGGCATTTCCAGTAGGATAGATGAATGTTGTAAATCCACTTTGCCTTCCAAAAAGCCCCATCCATTAATTCCTTTCCCCCTGAAGCATAATCCAGCTATCGCTTCTTGAGCCACTTTGTGCAAACATTCTTGGTCTCTCAGCTGTCACTTTTCTGTCCTGCTGGCTTTTGTGTTGTCTATTTAAACCCCAACAGAATGCCAGACCTGTATCCCAGCGCTCTAGCCTGACCCTTGCGGCCCTTTGGGGATATGGACCACTTCCATCGGCCGTCATTCCATCGCACTGTTGCTAATCCACTTGAGAGCTGCGGCAAATAAATGTCCTTTGAGAAACGTGACTCCCGTTCCAAAAGGCATTCCATCATGCGGGAGCTCTTCAAGAATTTTTTTCTTTTTTCTTTTTAATGACTAGTGAAAAGTTTATGCAGAAAGTTCTCCCCGCAATTAATTTTTACATTATTAAGCAAGATCTGCCAATATATAACATGGATTCTTTTTGACGGATTTGAAATATTTTTAAAAATCTATCTAGAGATAAAGAGAAAGGTTTTTGTGCAGAAAATAATAATAGGGGATCAGCAGCATTTGAAATTTGCCAGGTGCATTTTGAACCTGGCTATTGGTCGCGGGTGGTGCTGTGGGTTAAACCACAGAGCCTAGGGCTTGCTGATCAGAAGGTTGGCGGTTCGAATCCCCACAACGGGGTGAGCTCCCATTGCTCGGTCCCTTCTCCTGCCAACCTAGCAGTTCGAAAGCACCTCAAAGTGCAAGTAGATAAATAGGTACCGCTCCGGCGGGAAGGTAAACGGCGTTTCCGTGCGCTGCTCTGGTTCGCCAGAAGCAGCTTAGTCATGCTGGCCACATGACCCGGAAGTTGTACGCCGGCTCCCTCAGCCAGTAAAGCGAGATGAGCGCCGCAACCCCAGAGGTGGTCACGACTGGACCTAATGGTCAGGCGTCCCTTTACCTTTTATTGGTCGCTTGTGACCAAAGGAATATGCCCAGGTGCCAGGATGGCGTCTGATGTCTCCACCATCTGGAGGTGCGTGCCTGGGGATCCGTGGATCTTGACTGTTTTAATGCATTAGCAACGAACCCTGTAGAAATGTATCCATGATTTTCTTTTATCTCCGCAACTAGAACGAATTTCAGGAACCAAAAAGTCATATTGAAAAACACAACTTTCAAGCTGCTTGGCCCCCAAATGGCTACTGGGTGTTTTGTTTTGGCGACTGTAACACCAGTTGAAGGAGCCATTTGGCCACCTAGCTTATATATCTGACTTATATATACTTATATATACACCTACATATCGCCTCTTAAACATCTCAGCAAACCCAGTTTCGGATTTCCTACAAATCAGCACGCTCTCCAGACCTTATTTAGCCAAGCCCAATGCTACAAACAGCACACAGAGAAATCAAAGAGGCAGGCTTGGTGGGCAATGCAAGGATGCAGAGAGAGATCTGCGAAGGGCTATTAGAATCTATCGGGGAAAACCTTCTGAAATCAACAAGGAAAACATGGGAAGGAGCAGAGCAGCATACAAGAAAATTCTTGAGAACAAAAAGGCAAGCTTTGTGAGAAGCCAATGGCAAGAACTAGGATGGGCAGTGGCCGAGCAAAGAGAGGACAAGTTTTGGCTTTTGGTCTTGGAGCATGAAAGAATCGAGATCAACACTAGATGCCACCATATTGGCACAATGTTGGGTGGTTTACTATGCTGATTTTTTTGGAGGACAGGGCAATCATTCGATGCCGAGGTGACCATCGATCAGCCACCTGAAGTGAAATACCTGAAAGCCGAGCATGTCTGTGTAGCTCAATGTCAGAGTATTTGCTTTGCATGCAGAAGTTCCCCGGGTTCAACCCCTGTCATCTCCAGGTGGGGCTGGGAGAGATACTGTGCATGAAATCCTGGAAAGCTGCTGCCAGCCAGTGTAGACAGTACTGTACTGAGCTAGGTGGAACAATGGACTGACTACATGTAAGACAGCTGTGTTCCTGTGCCCCTTCTTTGTTTGCTTTTAAAATAATTTTTATTAAAGGTTTTCTTAGTTTACAAAAGCACGTTCATTGTCTCTTTTTTCAGGTTGTGTTTTCTACAGATCAGTTACATTTGCTGTGAGACATTACTTGGGTCAAACATTTATAGAGTTGACTGTACCTGCTAATTGACTCAGTACTATCATTACGGAATCCCCAAACACTTTGTTATCATACGTGTATAGTATGCTTAGCTTGAGGAGTATGTGTGCTCTTGGTTTATAGTTTATCTGCGCTGGGGAATTTTTTTTTTTTGATTACAGTTTATTTCTGACACATGTAATTTTCCCCATTGCTGATTCATTCCAATGTCTGAAATAAGTGCAGCCAATATGAAAGTTGTTCCATTATTGCTGGCGTTCTTGTATGTATCTTTGATTACAAAGGTCTTAATCTGTGTTTTGTTGTTGTGAATGCGACCGGCTTAGTCATCCTTTGATGCCGGGTGACTCAGATTTGCCATACATTTTCCTTCAAACTTTGCACTTGGTTAGAATTTAGACCATGCCAGAGGAGGCTCGGAGCGTATTGCTTCAACCCATGGGTGACCTTTCGAGCAAAGCATTCTTACGAGTCGTAGCCTGCTGTAAATCTATCTTGGTGGAAAACTGTCAGCCTTGGAAAATGTTGCAAATGCGAACGTTTCAGACATGACGTCTGTGGACAAAAAAACGGTGGCCAGTGCTAACCCTAGAAAGATCTTCACCTCCCAAAGCATCTGTGATAACATCTAATTATTTATCTTATTTATCTGTGATAAATTGTGTCATCTCACTGTATACAAGTTGTACAAGTGACAATAAAGTATTTCAACTTGCTTGAACCTCTAAGAAATAAATTTAGGGAGCTTTCCTCCCTGTCCTTCAGATGCCTTGACATGGTAACTCTTACGTACTAATGAAAAAATATATTTTGGGTACTATGAATTAATTCCATAGAGATTTTGGATTAGTGGAAATATCATGCTTTGGTACAGGAAGTAGAAGGACTCAGCAGGGCCCATCCCTTGCATGTAGAACAGGGATATGGGATTTATGGCTTTCCAGATGCTGTTGGGCTTCAACACCAATTAGACTCAGCCACAATTACCAATAGTTGGAGAGCACCAAATGATTTCTGGTAGCCAGGCTGGAAAAGACTTCACCTGAGACCTTGGACATCTGGTGCGAGGCAATGCAGACAATACCGAGGGGTGGTGGCTAGATGGAAAACTGGGCTATAGGAAGCTGGACTCATCATGTGCTCTCAAAGCAATAATGCAATGTGCTTCTCAACTCGGATGAATAGCATGTTCTAGCTGTTGAGCATGTGTGCAGCTGTATACTTCGTCAGACCCTGCTCCCCTGGGTGCTCTGACAACTCTCTTCTTACAGGACAGTCCTGTTTTTTGTTCCTTGGAAGAGTTTTTTGCCGTGTCAGTGCAAAAAATATAAACAGAAAATCTAGAATATGCAGGACATAAATCACTTCCACAACCTGCTTATTTACCTGTTGTTCGCTTTAAAATATGGAACAAATGAACTTCAAAAAACTGCTGATTGTAAGGTTGCACAGTCAATCCATGTTACCGAAGTCTCTTGACAGCCAAAGGACTAGATTTGGGTTGACATTGTCCTCAGTCCCCTCAGTCCCTGGGGCAAAATGAGAGTGCCTGAAAGACCTACGAATTGTCTTGTGACTTTGTCTGATTGCAAATCTTGATGGCTACAATGGATGGCAGCGTGCCTCTGAGTAGCAGTCTCTGGGGAACAACAACAGAGGAGTCCTGCCCTTGGGCTTCCCAGAGGTATCTGATTATCCACTGTGGGAAACAGGATGTTGGACTAGATAAACCTTTGGTCTGATCTAGCAGGACTCTTGTTCTTATTTTTAGTGCCTTGTAGTCCACAGATGCCAGGAATTAGCTTGATAGGCTCACAACTCACCCTGGGACTTTGTTGTCTTCCATTCTCCACATACACCCCTTCTCCAAGTTCGGTTGGAAATGGACTTCCTGGATATGCCAGATTGGTTGATCTGTGAGTCTCGTCTTTTGGGTAGGAGGTTTGGGCGAGATGGCCTTTAAGATCCTTCCAGCTCTTGTGGGGAAGCCCTGTTAACATGACGGGCTGTATTTTTGTCCTTTCATAAAATGTTCTTTGCTGGTTTCTCTTCGCCCCACTTCTTTGGGTGCTGCTGGATACTCTGGGGCCACAGTGAGGCTTTGCAGGCAAAAGCAATGCCTCTCTGTGCCATTGGCTTGCCTGCTCTGATGTCACAGCAAGCCTAGGATTAGATAGTTCAGTGCTGGTGCCAGTGTGGTGTAGTGGTTAGGAGCGGTAGATTAGTAATCTGGTGAACCGGGTTCGCGTCTCCACTCCTCCACATGCAGCTGCTGGGTGACCTTGGGCTAGTCACACTTCTCTGAAGTCTCTCAGCCCCACTTATCTCACAGAGTGTTTGTTGTGGGGGAGGAAGGGAAAAGGAGAATGTTAGCTGCTTTGAGACTCCTTCGGGTAGTGATAAAGCGGGATATCAAATCCAAACTATTCTTCTTCTTCTGCTAAGTGGGGAGAATTTGAATCCAGAGGCGTAGAGGCAACATTTTTTAAATTAACCCCCTCTCTGCCAGTTATCAGAGGGTGGCAGGACTACAGGGAGACACACACAGGCCTCTGCCATCAGCCAGGTTGCCAAGACTGCACCCCAGAGCAAAATATCATGGGAAAGGGGAGACCAACTTGGCCATGAAGGAGCAGCTGTGCTAATGTTGGCTCTCCTCTCCCCCTACCCTCATTCCTTTTTCATTGCCTCTGTTTAGTGATCCTGTGGGCTGTCTTGTCTTTTAATACCACAATGCTTAAAAAATAAAAATAAACCAGGTGCTTTATCAGTGTTAAATATTAATAGTTGTGGTAGTAGCTCCAGTCGATGATGACAACGTAATAATAATAGCTGCCCGAGACAGAGATCCTTCAAACCGAAACAGGGGTTTGGGAGACGTTTGTTGACGTTTTGCTGCTTTGTAATACGGGCTGGCAGAAATGATCAAAGGGGGTTTGCATACCAGCAGGGCTTTTGTTGGCAAAGGAAGAGGAACAAGCCAGAGGGGAAGGTCTCCCGAGCTCTAATAGCTAGAGGAGGAGCCCCTGCCTGCGTGAGAGCAATAGACTCCAGCTTCCCTCCTGCCAAGGGAGTAGGTGAAATTCTTCTCGAAAAGAAAGGCAGCATCTTTCATCAGCCGGAAGTTATCCAAGATAGTTGGACAAGCATTTATAATATGAGTGGCTCCTGGCCAAATACTACTCAGACCTGGGTTCCCAGCATAGCATGACTTCCCTTGTGGGCTTGCTTGTTTTAAAATGTCCTGCTTTTGCATCTGGGGTATTTTGGCAGGCGTGCCTGTTTGAGTGTGTTTTATACTTTTTTTTTGGAAACAAACGAAGAAGGCACCACCGGTCCTTATAACGGAAGGTCCCGAAATGTAGACTCACTTGAAACTTGGTAGATGGGAAGCCAACAATATTTTATTCTTACCTCTTGGAAAGACAGCAGAAATGTAAACCACTGAGGCCCAGAGAATAAGACCTTTAGCAATTCTTTCTTTCTTTTTACCTTAAGCAATAAAATAGGAATGTAAATACCGTTGGGTGTTTACGATCTGATTACTGTGAATGAGACTATTGCCATGGTTTCATCTGAACCGTTCAATGCTCTGAGACCCTTCAGGATGAAAGGTGGTCTAAACGTGCAAAATAAATCAATGAATGAATACACTAAAGTGTGGGATGTTGGGGAGGGGACACCCACTCCTTACATATTATTCAATATTTGTGGATGTTTCCTAACTGCGGAGCCATCTTGAGGCCTTTTGCTGCCTGAGAGAAAGGCCCCCATCTGCACTATGCATTTAAAGCACTGTGGTACCACTTTAAAGAGCAATGCCTTCCCCAAAGAATCCTGGGAAATGGAGTTTGTTAAGGATGCTGAGAGTTGCTAGGATACCACTATTCCCCTCAAAATTTTCAGAGCTGTGTAACAATTAACTCCTCTTCCCATGGAATTCTGGGAACTGTACCTCTGTGAGGGAAACAGGGGGTCTCTTAGCAACTCTCAGCACCCTTAACGAACTCCATTTCCCGAGATTCTTCGTGGGAAGCCATGTCTGCTAAAAGTGGTATCATAGTGTTTTGATAGTGTAGATGGGGCCAGAGATGGGCAACCCCAATTCCATGTACAGTGGTACCTTGGTTCTCAAACTTAATCCGTTCCAGAAGTCCGTTCCAAAACCAAGGCGCACTTTCCCATAGAAAGTAATGCAAAATGGATTAATCTGGTGCAGACTTTTAAAAACAAACCCTAAAACAGCAATTTAACATGAATTTTACTACCCAACGAGACTACTGATCCATAAAATGAAAGCGATAAACAATGTACTGCAGTCACACAATCATTCAATCAATCAGTAGCTGAACTGGGTTCCACACAGTCACAAAAACAAAAAGAGTCGCAAAAACATAAACACAAAATAAATAGCAAAAACAGACCTCAGCATAACACTCAAAACGGAAGTGTGGCACTCAAATCAGAAGCGTAACACTCAAAACGGAGCACGTTCGGCTTCCGAAAAGGGTTTGCAAACTGGAACACTTACTTCTGGGTTTGCAGTGTTTGGGTTCCAAGTTGTTTGAGTACCAAGGCGCTGGAGAACCAAGGTATCACTGTACAGAAGTTAACTGGCCTGGAAGTCAAACCTTACTTTATGCCTGGCTCCAGGGCAGGAGCCTCCACTGTACCTGAGGACACTAAACTAGGGCACAGGGTGCAGGATAGGTCCCACATGGCACAAAACGCAGCATCCCAACCCATCACCTCTCTCTGCTGCCCCAAACGCTGTAGCAACCCCCCAATCTTCCTGAAGATGATGCTGGGACTGTTTGAATGGACAGTTCACCTGTAGGAATGGCACAGGTTTGGATTTGAGGAACAATAGCTTTTATGAGACAAAAGTAAGATTTCCAGCTGGAGTTGTTAGCAAGAGGTGTCCAGTAACCTCTTGGGGCCCTTACGCTCCTTGCAGTAGGAAAGTCTGTCTGTCTGTACTCATGCTTGGCTTGTATATATTTGTAAAGAAAGCAGCTATTACAAAGACCCCTTTTGACCCCTTTTCAAAGGAAGTGAAACCCATTCGGCAGCACTACACCTCGAACTTCTCCCCGCTTGGAAGTAACAATGCTTTTCTGCTGCAGAACGGGATACACAAAAACACCCACAAGCCTCAGTCCAGCTGCGTACACACCCTGTCAGAAAACTGGCCGCAGTGCCAATTTGGCAGGGAGAGCCGAGTGACGATGAGGCCCAAATCCGGTTCCTGAACAGCTCCCCTGTACCGTTGCCAATTTTATTTATTAAATTTACATCCGGCCTGCCTTCTATAATTTGAGCCCAAGGCAGTATTTGTAGGGTTCCCAGGTGGTCGCTTTAGCAGGCAACGACAGCATCCGGATTTCTTTCGCTTCAGGAAGGTTGCTGAGCCATGTGCCTTGAAGCCAGGTGTGGGCAGATGTCAGACTTGCAAGATCTTCATGGGTTTGCGCTAGAACACCCAAGGCTCACCAGCAGGAGCCAGCAGCAAAACAGTGGTTCAAGGAGCCAGACCCAACATGCTGGCTTATGGGGCAGAGCCAGTTGCATCTCCCAACCCCGGGTGTCAGGCACAGAACTTGCTTGCCTGTGCAAATCTACATCTGAGATGCTGCAGAACAGAGATTCTAACAGCCCACTATTTTTCTTTGTGTGTGTGTGGAGAGGTCTTTTCATTGCCGATAATTGTTTAAAAATTAGCAGCCGGAAATCCTTAGTTGTCTTCTACAAACCCTCTAGCAAACCAATATACCCTGATTTGCATTTTGCTCGTCTCTGCTTTTTAAAACCATACCCTGGAAGCTCTGCAATAGCTCTCAACTTGAGCAGAGGAGTCACTGCTGGTGAAGTTTGTGCTGTTCCTCATCCAGCTAAAAGGATGCCTATCTAGGACGCTTGCTTCTGTGTGTGTGTGCATGCAAATGACCTCCTCTTCTAGCAGGATTGGGATGGTCTTGCGTAACTGGACACTTGAAACTTTGTTCTTTGCTGACCTAATGCATTAACAAGCCTTTAACGCCCATATGTTTCTAATGCAGGTGGCAAAAGTGGAATATGTTAGAAAAAAGCCAAAATTAAAAGAAGTCCTGGTGAAGCTAGAAGAGCATATGGAATGCACCTGTACGTCGTCAAATTCTAATTCAGATTTTCGAGAAGAAGAAACGGGTATGTTGACATTTGGGTGGGGATGGGCTTTAATTTAAGCTGGAACGTCTGGGTACAATGTGGCTGTTGAAGTTCTCTGGGGAGCGGGGCGGGGTCTCAAGCACTTAAAACCAGGAGAGGAGAACAGGTGGTGGTCAGAAGTTCCAACCACAGCATTTGGAACTGTGCTTTACTCGTTTACTTAAATATTCTTATATCACTCCTTTCTGATAAAACGTTCAAGGCGACTTGCAGCGCAGTATTGGAAAACAATACAATAAAACACAAATTTGGCGATGAAAAGCAGCAATAGGTGGCAGATTGTGGGTTGTGGCCAAGTAAATCTTACTTAGAGTAGACCCACTGAAATCAATGGATTTAAATTTATCTTGATTGGCTGCTGTGTGTGTGTTACTTAGCTGGCTACAACGCCGTAACTTAAAACTGAGGATTCATATGCTAGGAGAGCTAAAATTATCATCTGGGCAGACCAAATGCCTAAGCTCTTCATAAAGTGACAAAAGGCCTTCAGAGAGGGAGTGTGGCGAGTCTCCTTAGTTAACTTTGAAGTCCTCCCCTTCCTCTAGGCAACTCAGCCAGGTGTAGTGGCCAGGAATCCATGTCTTGCTGGCTTTATATCAGGAGGTGCAGTCAGTCAGATTTGCATTGATTATAGCTAATGGCCACTTCAATATAGCTCACAAAACACCCGGAGGAAGGTAACACACAAATGTTCAGAAATGTGGGTTGTTGGGTTTTTTTGTTTTTGTTTTTTTACCTTGTCAACTTCCTCTTATCAATTGAACAAATTAAAAATTCCCTTGGCAGTCAGTGCTGTTTCAGATCAAAAGGGAAATCTGTAGATTTCTCATTGCCAGCACATGCAAAGCTACCCTATTACAGGTAACAAACTTGTTGACACCGGCCAACGACCATCTAATTTTTAAATAGCTCCCTTGTAGAATTTTTAATATATATTTTTTAAGGGAAGGGATCAATCACTAGGTGAGTTGTATAAAGGGCAAAACAGAGTACTGTCGTACCTTGGAAGTCGAACACCTTGAGAGACAAACGTTTTGGCTACTGAACGCCACAAACCCGGAAGTGGTTGTTCCGGTTTGTGAACGTTCTTTGGAACCCGAATGTCCGACAGGGCTTCCGATTGGCTGCAGGAGCTTCCTGCAGCCAATCGGAAGCTGCGCCTTGGTTTCCGAACATTTTGGAAGTTGAGCGGACTTCCGAGGTATGCCTGTGTAGCATAAGCAGAGGTGAAAGGGCAACAGGCAGATTACGAAAGAAATCTCTAAAAATCAAGCACTGTTTTAGATTTGGCTCATGCTTGTTGCTGTTGTTTTGCTGGCAAATTTGAGTAATGGTAAGGATTAATGGGAAAGGGCCATTTGTTCAGTCATGGAGTCTTTTCATTCCATTCCCGGCATCTCCTGGCAGTTTTGAGAATCGCCCCCTGCCAGATAATATGAAGAGCATCTACCTGTCAATGTAGACAACTATTGAACTAAACAGACCCAGTAGCCTGACTCATACAATTTAAGACCGCTTCCAGTGTTCCTTTGGCTATTCAGTTATCTTTCTGAACACACTTAGACAGGAGGGAGTGGGGCTGTGGTACTTGCCTTACTCTCACGTGCAATATAAGCATAGAGCTTGAAAGAAACCGTACCCCAAGATACCCAGTTGCGGTTACAGAGCCTGTACCCCAGGGTTAACCAATGTTGTGTCCAGTTATGGTGCCTTCTCCCCCAACCAGACATGCTGGCTGGGATTGATGGAGTTGGGAGTGCACAGGTTCGTACATAAATGGTATGGGGGCAAGAGATACGAGTGGTCTTGATCCCACTCATCTTTTGACATCAGTTTCATGTGATATCTGAATGGTCCTGTCCCAAATGCAATGCAATTTCTGCACCCAGCACGTAATACCTTGGAGAGATAAAACTAAACACTTTAAGCAGGTGGAACAAATTACCGTTCTTTTATTTTTTTGGAGAAGGAATAATGGAAGCGATTGAATTTTTTAAAATCAATAAATGCATTGCCTTTGGGTGTTTGCTTCTTCTTCTTTTTACGCCATCCCTGCCCTTGTGTCAACAGGAAGGCCTGGGGGGAAAGGTAAAAAACGGAAAAGAAAAAAGTTAAAACCCTCATAAAAAAATACTGCCGCTGACCAGGTAGGACCTGTCTGCTGAAACTACCCTTAATACCACAAGCAACTGAAAATATAATCAGCTATTCTCACTCTCCCACCTAATCACTGTTCAAAAATCTTTACATGTGGCTGTTTTGGAGCAGCCAAGAAATCAGAAATGATTGGCTCAGATAATTCTTTTCACGAGTTTCTTTCCCCTTGACAGCTATGCTTGTTGCTGCAAGCACCTCACATCCTTTCTTTCCTTTCCTTTCCATAATTTAATTTTGGAGGGATTAATATTAAACGCTTGCAATCTGCAGCTCCCTGCTATTTTTGAATTGCCGTTGATTTCCAAGGGTGGTTCAGGTGTTCTGTCATAATACTGAAATGCTATTGAACAAGGATCCTTATTTGCTTGATATTTGTTGGGGGTGGGGACACAGTTTTCCCTCTCCTCACTTAATTCCCACAACAACCCTGTGAGGTAGGTTAAGCTGAGAGGCAACAAATGGCCCAAGGTCACCCTTCGTGGCCAAGAGGGGATTTGAACCCTGGTCTCCCAGGTTTAAGTCTGGCACTCTAATCACTACACCAAACTGGCCCTCAGACATTCTGGCCCTCAAACACGCACCATCAATAAAATATGGCCTGCCACTCCTATTCCTATTCCAGCAGGCTTGTACCAGATTTGAACATGGCCCTAGTCTTCAGGGATATATTAGGAACCAAGGGTGTAGAGTTTTGCTGTAAGAAGATCTGCATCACCAGGCATGCCCCATACAATAAATCTCACTTAGCGTAGTAGAGATGAAGGCAAAAGTTCCTGGGTGTTTCACTGAAAAAGCTGAATTATTTAACGCACTGCGCAAATGATATGTGTAAAGGAACCGAATGTATTCTGTGTCAACTGGATAGTCTTTATGAACTACTGGGTGGGGGGGAGAGAGAACTGTTAAGGGTAGTACTCTGGTCTGTTGCAAGTCCTGTCTTCCAGGTGAGCCCAGAACTTGTGGGAACTGTATTATATAAGCAAAGGTTTGGGCAGGTTAAATCTAAGCATGCAACACGGTCAAAAGATAACAACAACGAGTAGTTTCTTGGCTGGCGTTAGGAACCCTGCACATTTTCTATTTTTATGTTGTGAACAGCCCTGAGATCCTCGGATGAAGGGCAGTATATAAACCTGATGATGATGAGGATGATGATGATTATCATCATCTAGAAGGGGCATGGGACCACTTCTCTGTGACCACTGGACAGCTTAGTTGGTTAGAGTGTGGTGCTGATACAAGGTTACAGGACTCTGTGATTCTACATAAATATGATTCATCTCATGGCACTGCCAAGATGTTGAAAGGTTCAGCTCCATTTCTGATGGCGCCAATCCCATGGGTCCTTCCCATATCCATTCAGGGAATGGAGTGTGGCAAACTCCTGTGGTGCTAGCACTTTAATGCCTAATTTTTTAAAAGCAAGGGTGGTAAGCTGCCTCCTCCTGCCCCTTGCTCCCCCCATTTTGCCTCCATCTCATACCATCCCTGACTTTTGGCCATTCTGGCTTGCGGTTGGAGGCTGACCACCTCCGTAAGGCCACAAGTTAGCAACCCCTGAATTAAAGTGTGAGAAAGCCACTCCCAATACCCCTGTTATGTCATATAAAGGCCACATAAGTAACTTTTCACTCAGGAATGAGGAGGGGGTCCCCCCCAAAATGATCTTAAGAAGGAAGTTTGATCTTCTAACCGTACAATTGCCTTGTGCTCCCCATCCCTTTTCTCTTTCTCTTTTGCAGATGTAAGGTGAAAATAAGCTAGAAAACATTTCTCTCTGGGACATGGATGTACATTGTTTGTTACATTCCTGAACCTACTGTGTATGGTGCTTTAATGACTGTATACTTCATTCATTCTCCTACGTTGGGGGGGAAATTGTCTTAAAGAAAGAGAGAGAAAGAGAGAGAGAGACTTCACAAGAACAAAGAGACAATGTACATTTGTTTAATACGACATCAAAGCAAGTATTGTAGCACTCTATGAAACAATACGAAGTTTCCCTGTCCAAAACAACAACAACCCAAGAAGACAACTCAAGAAAAACAAAATGGCATTGGTAGAGGAATACCAAAAGTACCCTGGCAACACAACAAAAGACAATGCTAAATTAAGTGAAGAACAGATTTCCTCTGAGAAGAGCAGTCAATGGTGCTTTCTTTTCTGTTTGTTTCTGTCAAGAAATGTGCCTGCATTCTTGATGAAGATGGATGGACACTGATGGAGTTTAGGCACACATACAAAAAAAAAGAAAAAGAAAAAAAAAAGAGCAGGAATGTATCAAATGCCACAGCAGACACTTAATAGAAGCAGTGCGATTTTGCTTGACGGTATTTTAACGTCTATACAAAAAAAAAAAAAAATCCTTCTGGGGCGCCTTAAGTGGATGTTTTTGTTTTTTTTGGTTTTTTTGTTTTTTACACCATAAAGTTATTATTAAGCTTTCTTTTTACTCTTTGCCTAGCTTTTTATTATCCTTTTTTGGACTACATTTACCAATAACCCATATAGAAGACTGCTGTAGCGATGGCGAAACGGGACACACAGACAAGTATGGAATTTCTCCTAGTGGGATGCAAACTAATGAGATGTATTAAAATAAAAATGGTATACCTATGCATAATTTTCTAAATGTTTCTTGGTTTATGTCCCATTTCCCCTCTCCTCCCCGCCCCGCCCCCAACCTCCTCCATTCCCGCACACGTTATTTAAAACAGTGGCTTTTCAGAAATGTTGCCAGGGTTTGTTTGCTTTTTGTCAGCGAAAAGGATTGTAATGATGGAAGGTTTGGTGCTCCTGATTTTCCTCTGCCATGTACGGCCACAGAGCAGAGATCAGGTGGAGGTGGGGTGGATTCTTGGATGCATTTTCGTTAACATGAGGCAACGGCAAGGCCCAATAGTATTGGCCCTTGTGTGTGTCAAAGGATGCCCAAGAATATACAGTCATACCTTGGGTTACAGACACTTCGGGTAACGCGATTTCAGGTTGCGCACAGCGCCGAATCCGGAAGTACCAGAACGGGTTCCTTCCGGGTTTCGGCGCATGCGCAGAAGCACCAAATCACGACCCACATGTGCGCAGATGCGGCGCTGCGGGATGCGGACGCTGCGGGTTCTGGACGTGCTTCCCACATGGATCACGTTTGCAACCCAAGCGTCCACTGTACCCAGAATCCTCAGCAACATGCAAGAATTTTGTGGCTGATGCCCAGAGTTCCCTCAACAAGACAGGTCAACAGACCTTCCTGAGGGGAAGAAGTTTGAAAGTCACTGTTGTTTTTTTTTAGAGACAAAAAACCCACACAACTCCCTGATGTGCATAAGCAACCTTTGGCTATATGCGAGCAGTTTGTTTGTTTGTTTGTTTGTGTGTGTGTGTGTGTGTGTGTGTGTGTGTTGGGGGGGGAACAGACACCAGTTGCTGATCAGTGATGTTGTAGCAATTGCCATGCCTCTCCATAGACAAATCCCTTTTACTATTTCACATGTTTAATCTATGTGAGATGTACAAACTCTTCTTGTTATCCGTATTGTATTATGTCACTGTGGCACGGGGGTGACCCTGCCGAAAAGCCTAAATTTCTTTATTTTTGGTATTAAAAAAAAGTTATGCTTTAAGTGTATTCAACAAAATAAGTGGTTTATTTTGTAACAGTGAAGTTTGTATTTTTTAAAATCTAAAATTAATGGTTTTATATACCCGAGAAAGCCTGCTATGTTTTCTTGAAGAAGGAAAAAAGAGCACAGGGTCGGGGGGTCAGGGAATGCATATTATGGGTGTGTTCTTCTAGCCGCCATTAATAGTCCATATAATTTTAAATACTCTTTTCATTGTAGCAGGGTAAATGAAAAGACTTAGGCCTCGCCCCTTGCAGCATCCACCCCCAACCTGGGATATCCTCTGGAACTTGTGGGACTTCAACTCCCATCAGCCACAACCAGCATGGGCAATAGTCAGGGATGATGGGAGTTGTAGTCCAACAACATCTGGGGGGCACCAGACTCTGGGTGGTGGTGCTGTCCTGGATGCTCAAAGGACAATTTATGTTCCAACCTTCTCTAAATAATTCCATAGGCACAGTGCAATTCCTGAGGGCACTTCAAGCTTGTAAAATCTAATTTATCTCCCTGCTCTGAACCCCAAAGTCCACCAAGTGAAAAACTGTGTTTTAGAAGAGTGAGCATACACTTACAATCAAGGCGTGGTTAAGTGTACACCCAGGATTTTGCTTTTGGTACCAGATCTGAGCTTTTAGTCTAAGAATAAAAAAATCAATTCCTGGTCTCCCCCTGCTCCCCCACGAGGTTTCTTCTTTCCATCATCCTGCTTCTGGCAAAAACGAAAACAACTCAGGGTCAGAAATCTACTCCAAATCCCCCAGAGATCCACCGGTAATCTGATCTACTCTCTACCCACCCTTGCCGTAGGACGCAGGCAGTAACTGCTGCCATTCTAGGGCTTATGCCCATGCACTCAATTCTGAGAAACGCACAGAGTTCCTTCCCACCTTTGATGGGAACAGGATTGGCCCATGTCTAGGTACTTCCAGAACTGGACGACCTTCAGTGTTGCCTCAGACCAGCTGATTTGACCCTTTGAGAATATAAGACTATGCAAGCTGTTTTATGGTAGCCCAGTTGGCCAACTTGCCTTACTAAGTTCCCTTTCATGCCTTAGCTTACGGCACGGCACCTTCTCTTCCCCAGGAGAAAGGTTGTTTTCTGCTGCTCCAGAGAAGCGGACACGGAGCAATGGATCCAAACTACAAGAAAGAAGATTCCACCTAAACATTAGGAAGAACTTCCTGACAGGAAGAGCTGTTCGACAGTGGAATTTGCTGCCAAGGAGTGTGGTGGAGTCTCCTTCTTTGGAGGTCTTTAAGCAGAGGCTTGACAACCATATGTCAGGAGTGCTCTGATGGTGTTTCCTGCTTGGCAGGGGGTTGGACTCGATGGCCCTTGTGGTCTCTTCCAACTCTATGATTCTATGATTCTAAGTTCAAGTGTTTGTTGTCAGGTCAGACTAAGTGCTGCTTACACTGACTCGGTGAGGACCCAGAGGTTCCTTTCACACATTATGAATTTATATCAGGAGAAATACTACACACTGGTCCTCACCTTGTCTTCCTAGGCTGTGAACCATCAGTTTGGATCAGACTGTTGGCTGTGGAAGAGCAAACAGCTCAATGCCCACGTAGATCATTCTTTCCAAGCACTGGTCATGGGGACCCTCAATACATAAGGGACTCCTGGTTATGGATTTGGGCACTGTGAGGTGTGTCGGAATTTAAACTGAAAGCACATTGTATTCATACTTTCCCTGTTACGTTTCCAGGCAACTAGGGTTTCGTGCACATTCAGCCCAAAATGCAAATTCTGGACCAGGATTACCCAAACCCTACATCAGGACAGACCACATTCTGAAATGGGAATAAAACCTCCTTGCTTCTTTTAGAAAACATATTCTTGTTTGACATCATTTTTAGTCTGTTCCTGCTGAATGTGGAGGAACAGCATTTGCTATGCCAAGCACTTAGAGCTATAACCTGAACATGAGAAGCCCCTGGTTAACTTGTCTGTTTTTCTGGTTGTCTCCCTTCCCGTAAGAATTGCAAACTTGCTTCGAAGAAGTTGAGGTTTTTTTCATTTGGCAGCATGTGTGCCAAGACCCCAAGTTCTGTAGCTTCACACTTGCAGAATACTCATGGCCTTACGTAGGAGCACTTGGGAGTACATAAATTGTGGCAAGTGGACTACATAAATTGATGATTTGCTATCCACAATGAATCTGGATAACAAGGAGCCTGGGAGAAGTACAGTTCTCCCCGAAATGATTATTTCCCTCCCTCCTGCACCCCACTTTGTTTTTTATTATACCGATCGTGTAAAATAAAACTGGAATTATTTACAAAACAAGTTTCCAAAGAAATAGCCTTTTCCTCACATCTCATAGGTACGGACCACGAGGTACGGCAAAGATAATGTTACTGTCTTTAATCTGTGCATTCAAATGTGGATGTGCTTTTGTGTGTGCAGTGTTGACTAATCTGTCTCACTTTCAGAAGTAAAAACTACATCTAAGAAAAGGGAAAGGAAGGACTTTTCTCATTGATGTCAATAAGGGTGATTTGCTCTTGATTTCATTGTAGCCAGAATCTGCTTATGCTTTCCGGCACTTATTTGTTTTTCCTCCTTTTGCTCCATTCCTCTTGTGCAAATTGACCTAAGCCAAAGCATTTGAATGAAGAAAATGGGAGAGGTATTCCTGGCTTTGGGGTTTTCAGACTTTAAAGCCACAGTCCTGTTGGCTGAAAAGCATCCACCCTAGTGGTGTGGATAGGAAGAATTGTACTTTAAAGTGTCTGCGCTTGTTTACCGCTGAGTGTAACAGTCTCACAGTTATGCACATGAATGTATGTGTGTACATGAAAAAAAGAAATGTATAAAGTGTAATTTATATATTTATGTCTGAGTGGGATGTGGCAGTAATGTTGCTTCAATCTTGATTCCCTTCACCCCTCCCATCTAAAAAAGAAAATACAGTGGTACCTCGGTTTTCAAACAAAGTCAAACATTTCAGTTTTCGAACGCCGAAAACCCGGAAGTAAATGCTTCTATTTTTCGAACGCACCTCAGAAGTCAAACAGCTTCCGCTGAGTATTTCTCCATTAAATTTGCAGGCCACCCTTTGCACCTCGGTTTTCAAATGTTTCAGAAGTCAAACAGTCTTCCGGAACGGATTACATTTGAAAACTGAGGTGCCACTATATTTTAATAGATTTCATATGCTGGTGACAATTGTAGATTTCACTGGTTTGAAAAGATTCTGTTGCCGCTTGTGGACTTGCAGATTTCTGAGATTGTCCATGATTCCGTTGCATTATGTGGGCAAGATAGAAACCGAACCGGAAAGGAAGACACCTTCCTTTTAACCAGGCAGAGTGAATAATGCTGGTGTTTGTCAGCACTGTTGATCACTAGGAAAACCAGTGTTAACTGGACCAACCCACACACCTTGATTTGGGGGAGATAACCTGTGTGGTAACAGTACTCAACAGCAGATAGCAGAAGCATCTGGAATTCCTGTCGGAGTTCGGTAGGATATATTCCAGTGGAAGAAGTTCCCAAAATGTGTCCCCGGCCACTGAGAGCTGTGGATGCTAGCAGATTTGCAGCACAATCCCATACGTGTCTACTCAAAAGTAGTTCCCATTGAGTTCAGTAGGACTTACCCCCAGGAAAGTGGATGTAGGACTGCAGCCTTCTGCAGAAGAAGGTCCCCCTTCCTTCCCGGCACACACAAGCAAGTGGAGACATGCATTTTATCAGCACTAGTCCAAATTTTTTGCCTTCAAAGGATGGGAAATTGAAGACTGGATGAAGAGCTTTTCAGTAATTATGCGTCTGAGACTTGCAGCCTGAAGGCAATTTTTCAGTACCACTATATCTTAAAGAGAAGCCTAAAGCCCTCTGGAGCGCTTGGAAGTCCACAGCAAAGCTTCCAGCAGGTTCCTTTCAAGTCAATCGCTGGTTTGCCGATAAGCAAAGCAACTTTCTCAACCCAGAAATATTGCAGGCTGGTCATCCATGGAGCTTACTCAAACCATCGTTGTGTGGCGGCCCCTAATGTGGCCCCTTGACATTGAGGGCAATTGTTGTGCCTGGGCAACATCCCAGAATGGCCTAATTTGTCCTTTTGAGGCCACCATCCAAAGAAAAAGAGAAGTTGAAGCCTTTTGGCATTCCTGTCTAGTTGCATACTATGGTTTGTATACAGAGTTGCATTAAATCTGTTGTTCTGTTAGGTTTTGTTTTGTGTTCTAGATATTTGGGACCATTCAGCAGCAGCACCCCCCGCTGTAGTTTGAAGTGACCCAGTCCATTCTGCCGCGACATCCCACTGCCTGTGTGGAGCCAACCAAAGCCCAGGGGCTTGGGGTGTGCATCAGTGGTTGTACTCCAGAGTGCTTTATATTAGAAGGAAACTTAGCAACAGCTGTGGCTTCTAACCCTGCAGCACCAGCTGGAAAAAGCACAACTTTGATGCAACTCTTCAAAAACTGTGAAAGCCTTTGGGCGCCTCTGTGAAGAGAGGCTGGCTTGGAGATGGGGACTGCTCAGATTTGGAGGCAGAATGTCAGTGAATCCCAGCTATTTGGGGGAAGTCAACAGAGAAGGGATATTGCCTTCATGCCTCAAACTTGCGAGCTTCCTGGAGGCAACTGGTTGGGCCATTGCAGAGCATAGCATGCTAGACTTCATCTCTTCCTCCTCCCCTGATCCTGCAAGCTTTCCTCTTTTCCTCCGATTCTGCAAATCATCTGCCACTGATTATTATTATTTTCTTTATGAATCACTTCCTGTAGGGCTTGTAGAAGTGACGTATTTACAGCGGTACCTTGGTTCTCAAACTTAATCCGTTCCAGAAGTCGGTTCCAAAAGCAAGGTGCGCTTTCCCATAGAAAGTAATGCAAAATGGATCGATCCGTTCCAGACTTTAAAAAACAACCCCTAAAATAGCGATTTAACATGAATTTTACTATCTAACGAGACCATTGATCCATAAAATGAAAGTAATAAACAATGTACTGCAGTCACAAAATCAATCAGTAGCTGAACTGGGTTCCACACAGTCACAAAATCAAAACAAAAAAGAGCCGCAAAAACAAAAACGCAAAGTAAATAGCAAAAACAGACCTAAAAATTGGAAGTGTGGCACTCAAAATGGAAGCGTAACACTCAAAACGGAGCATGTTTGGCTTCTGAAAAAAGTTCACAAACCGGAACACTTCTGGGTTTGCAGTGTTTGGGTTCCAAGTTGTTTGAGTTCCAAGGTGTTTGAGAACCAAGGTGCCACTGTGTTGGATTTATTAGTTGCTCCCCCCCTTTTTTTACCAAATGTATCTCAAATAGACTTACAAAGCAGTACAAAATTTAAAACCAGTTTAAAGCTAAAAGAGAAAAGTAACCCCTCCATACCTATGAAAGGCAGGTCTAACACATCCCTCTTCTGCAATGAGGCCACAAATATTGAAACACTCCGAAACCTGTTAAAAAGAAACATTTTTGCCTGGTGCCTAAATGTAGAAATATGTGCAATGGACTTAGCAGATATAAAAACAGGTATCTTAACAGATATTAAAAACAATTTTGCATAGATTGAAACAATAAACTGTTCTAAGCAGCCACAAGAACATGCATAAAACCTTCACATATCCACCACGGAAACCAACTGGTATCTCAACATTCCTATGAATCATCCTGATGGTCTTGATGAAAATCCAGAGTTTGACCCATTTCTCATAACAAATAAATAGCGCTGGGGAGAAAAAAGTCTGTTATGCTATCACCAGATAGTCATTTCCTGCACATCAAAATATCCAGTCTCCCGTGACTCCCATGGCAATGGAGTATGCAAAGGCAGCACCGATTCAGCAGATTCAGACTCACGCTTCTCATGGGAATTGCCAGCAATTCATCAGAGACAGTATTGAACACACACACAGAGAGAGACACACACGCCCCCCGAGCAATTCTTCATTGCCTCCTGTCAACTTCATGCTTGAGAAACGGAACGCAAAGAAAGCGGTGATATTTGGATTGGCAAGAAATTAATCTTTGCGTGGTTCATCCAAACGGGTGTCCCTTGCAAAGAGCCCATCACTGGGCACATTATGCCATCCTTCCTCAAACTGATGCATACCTTGGTCTTTTGAACTATAACTTCCATGAGCCCCAGCCAGCGTAGGCACAAAGAGCAGTGTGGCATAGTGGTACTATGAATCTTATCTACATAACTGTTTTGGTTCTTTGTACTGTAGGGAGATGTGATGTATTGACATACATTGTTTATTATATTCCGTGTTGTCAATCCATCGTGGGCCCAATTAAGAGATATGAAGCAGCAATGTCAAATTATACATAATACAATCCCAGCAAAAAACCACTGAACGCCTCTAAGACAGAGTCTCATAGGCCACAGTCACAACACACATTGAAAACACTATGATACCACTGTATATAGACTGCCTTCTCTTTGAAGGTGTTGTCTGTTAGAAGGGATGTAAAGACATAAGAAAAGGCCTGCTGGATCAGGCCCATGGCCCATCTTGTCCAGCATCCTGTTCTCACAGTGGCCACCCAGATGATTGTGCAACCCCCCCCCCCCAAAGAATTCTGGGAGCTGTAGTTTGTTAAGGGCACTGAGAAGTTGTTAGGAGACCCCCATTCCCTTCCCAGAGCTACAGTTTTCAGAATTCCCCTTGAAGAGAAAATGATTCTTGAACAGTTCTGTAAATTGTAGGTCTGTGAGGGGATTAAGGGGGTCTCCTAACAACTCTCTTCTCACAACTAATTTAATTATTTTTTTACATTCCAAAGCTGACTTGATCTGTACCATTGGAAGTCAGTGTGAGAAACGGCTTAAAAAACAACTTTGCTTTTTTATGTAGTGCAGGAATGGGGAACCTGTGGCTCTCTGGACATTTGCTGAACTGCATCTCCCATTGGCCATGCTGACCAGGGTTGATGGAGTTCAACAACATCTGGAAAACTCCAGGTTGACTCCCCCAGATGTGGAGAACATTGTTCAGGTCCCTGCTTTCCCATGTAGTCTACTTGCTGGCCTTGAGCCATTTATTATCATTCACCCTAACCAGCCTCACAGGGTTGTTGTGAGAAGAAAATGGGATATCCCCCTATATATACCTCCCTAATCTTTTTACAGGAAGGATAGAACGCAAATATCACATTTCTTTAGGAATGCAGTCTGCACCATAAAACCCTCAAGCCTTTAATTCTTTTTCGGCATCTGCTTAAAAACAATCCCCTCTTTTTATTATTGTGATATTATTAGTGCTATAAAAATAGATTTATTTCCTGGACCCATTCAAACAGCAATGCGTAATTCTTCCAGAAAGACAGCTTCCCACAAAGGCTTTCTTGAAGCTGAATTGCCCTGGTAAATATAATGGCATGAGACCAACATGGAGGGGGAAATTGTGGCTTTTTTACTCAACAAATTAAACAAAACATGAAAAGCTCATCTACTTTGGGTCAGGACGTATTTTGCTTTGTAAAATATGTTAAGTATTTCTTATCAGACGTTTGTCCCAATTAGCGAGTAGAATAACTCGTGAAAATGGGTTTGTTTTGCTTCCAAGGGTGGAATGAATATAAATACATTCCGCGTATCCCGTGTGAAATAAGCATTTATTTCCACAGAGACAGGCTGGGCCTGTGGAGCTCAAGTTACAGGGCTCCCTGTTACGTCCCCTCAATATTCAGGCTGGCCAGCTGAATTCTCCTTCACAGCCCCAATCATCCACCGAGGAGCTACATATTCATGCACAACCTCCCACATTTCACAGATGAAAGCAGGAATGTGCTTTTAACACTCAAAATTCCCACACCAAGGATCTCTCCCCAGGATCTACATTGGCTGCTATATGGTGCATTGATCTGCCCTCTCTGTGGATTTAAAAGCCAACTTAACAGGGACAGGGGTGGCGCTGTGGGTTAAACCACAGAGCCTAGGACTTGCCAATCAGAAGGTCGGTGGTTCGAATCCCCGCGATGGGGTGAGCTCCCGTTGCTCGGTCCTGCTCCTGCCAACCTAGCCATTCGATAGCACATCAAAGTGCAAGTAGATAAATAGGTACCACTCTGGCGGAAAGGTAAACGGCGTTTCCGTGCGCTGCTCTGGTTCACCAGTCATGCTTGCCACATGACCCGGAAGCTGTACGCTGGCTCCCTCGGCCAATAAAACGAGATGAGCGTCGCAACCCCAGAGTTGGCCACGACTGGACCTAATGGCCAGGGGTCCCTTTACCTTTACTAATTTGGTTAAAGTTAACGTTTGGAAAAACAACAACCGCATAACTGTGCTGCAGTCTGCTGTCAATAGAACAAAATACGCACTGCCTCGCATGCAGAAGGCTCCAGGTTCAAGCCCAGGAATCTCCCGGCAGGGCTGGGAGACCATCCCTGACCGAGACCCTGGAGATCCAAACGGTTTAGATTAATGGTGGACCAACTGAACCAGTATAAGGCAGCTTCTAGTGTCCCTCCGTTTGCTGCCTCCAGTGGCGTGGTGCCTTGGCACCCGTGTGGAACTGTCACCCACAGGAGGCAGTGATTTCCACCAACCTATTTGGCTTTAAAGGATGATGGGACAAATTCATGGAGGAGAGGGTTGTTGATGTCAGGAGTGCTCTGATGGTGTTTCCTGCTTGGCAGGGGGTTGGACTTGATGGCCCTTGTGGTCTCTTCCAACTCTATGATTCTATGATTCTATGGCTGCTGGCCATGTCGTCTCTGCTCTGCTTCAAAGTTGGAGGCAGCAACGCTTCTGAAAACCAGTTGCTTGGAATGAAAAAACAGGAGAGGAGAGGCCTCTTACTCTCTGGTCCTGCTTGTGGGTTTCCCACAGACACCTGGTTGGCCAATGTGAGGACAGGATGATGGGCTTGATGGGCCATTGGCCTGATCCAACAGGCCCTTCTCATGTCCTCTGTTTGAAGGAGTCCTCTGTCCAAAGGGCTATCCAACCCATGTACAGTTTAAAGGTAAATAAGCCTCAGGAGAAGAAAGCAGGCACTTTGAAGTTGTCCATCAGCCAGGACAGTAGAGCAGACCTGGACAGTAGAGAGATGAAGACACACAGCACAGCAGGTCACCCTACTATGGTGAGATGCATCTCTACTGAAATTACCTTAATTCTTTCTAAATTTGCACAGGTGATTTTTCTGTCCTCTTTTGGGGCGATGAGTAGGGATGGGGGAAGAGTTCTGATTCAGGTCACATTTAAGGCCGAAACTATCAGACGCACACTTTTCAAAACAATATGAAAACCGAAACATAGTCACCCTTCAAAATCTGCATTTACTTCAAATCTGGCAGTTCTCCAGCCCAGGTTTGCCTAAATGCATATATCAGGGGAAATTGTGCATAAAAATGAATATATTGGTGAAAATAATATAAAAGAGTATTACTTTACAAGAAGTTGCTTGCAAAAATGTGTTAGCCAAAACTGCACATAAATGTGTTTATTAGAAGAAATTCGCACTAAAATGCTGAAGAATTTTTATGATGGATTTATTTTATTTTATTTTTAAATCATAAGTTGGTGCAGAAATGTGGAGAATTTAAGATCGGAACATTGAGAAACTGAGAGTTGCAAAATTGGCAGATCCGTCCATCACTACTGATGAGGAAGAGGCTACCCTATAGAGCACTGAAGCTGCCCCCTAACGGTCAGGGGTCCCTTTACCTTTATCAACTGAATATCCATGCAGCTCACAGCTCAGATGGATGTATAGCTGTCTAAAAGGCAGATGGTTGCAAGCAGCAGTTTAAGGGAAGTTTGTTCAGATCCTGGCCAGTTGCCTTCAGCAGGGCTCATTAACACCAGCCACCAGCAAGCGGTTTCTCTGTGTGACATTGGCTCCCCTGAAGTATCAGCAGATGTTAATGAGGTAGCAAGGAGTTCACCTGCAGCTCAGAAAGCTTCGCCTTGTGCACCTTCCGTGTGCAAAGAGGCATGCTTTTCGAGCAATGCTAGTTAACCACCATCGCCAGCCTAAGAAACCAAGCAAACCAGAAAACCCACAAGAGTGCAATAGATATAGGACATAATATAGATCCGAACCTCTGGGAAAAAT